ATATAGATCAACTATATTACTCTTCAGGTTCGAATTCCTTAAAAACATTGATAACACACTTAAAGTCATACATATGAGACACGAAATAAAACATGTCTAATCAAATCTAACTATAAGTTTGGGAAACTAAATACATATATTGTTCGTTACATGTGGGAATTCAATTTTGAAATCATTTCTTCAAAAGGAATATTCATTCAGTACATTTTAGTTGAAAGGTTCATAAAAATAAGATATACAATAGTTAGTTTTTTATTTATAGGCATAAAACAGTCAGTATGGTTGATGTTGGTTGAGGTCTTCAGCCTTTATTCCCACAATGGGTCATACAAGCATTATTTACACTAGTTAGGTAGTAACAGGCATAAAACCCATATTTTGACTCCGGAAAATCTTACCAAGACGAATGATATTTTAATGAAATTTAAGTTTGTTTGTGAGCTTCTCTGCAACAGGGCCTAAACAATCTTGTGTCAATTTTACACCAAGGAATTGTCACGTTAGTTTAAGTACATGGTTCATAATTTTTGACACAAAACATGGTTCATTTCGATCTTACTGGTATCGGAGCACTGACTACTAGACAAATATCATGCTCGACAACGATATGAAATTTTAATGAAATTTTGTATGTATTTAAAAAAACTCATTGAAGTGAATCTTAAAACGTAAAATACATGTAGCATTAATACTTAAATTGTAACAACCAATGAAGATATGATAAATGGACTTTGATTTTTACATTTTGTTCTTATGCTGTCTCACCATTGTCACAGGTGAGCACTTACGATATAAAAATAAGGAGACAAACATACTGAATCCTGTCACATAGTTTTCTCGTTTGAATTATTTAACATTTTGAAAAATTTATCAAATAGCATAAAACGAATCCAGTAACACATTATTATTTTCATGTTATTTAAATGGAATTGTTCACAGCAATTGCATCATGTCTAAATAAAAGTTTTAAGAATGGAATTCTAAATCTCAATTTAAAGTGAACAAAATCTTTTTATGACAATTACAAAAGGTTACGTTCTGCAAGATGAGACGATCGGGATGAATATCGGGAAGTTTGGATTGCCACTGGAAAATAAGGATATGTTGGATAGGGGCAGACATTTTGCCTTGCACATGACAGCAGTCTGAATACAACTTTAATCATTAATACTTGCGTGTCCTTTTTACCTTGCACATGACAGCAGTCTGAATACAACTTTAATCATTAATACTTGCGTGTCCTTTTTACCTTGCACATGACAGCAGTCTCAATGCAACTTTAATCATTAATACTTGCGTGTCCTTTTTACCTTGCACATGACAGCAGTCTGAATGCAACGTTAACTATTAATACTTGCGTGTCCTTATCTTTTTGTATTATACTAGGTTTCTTTAAAGATTTTAATTGCTCTTTTTTATGTACTTTTTGTGATTTTACTGATAGATTTTAAAGAAAAGGTAAATTTGGACTAAAAAGAAGTTAGCCATTCCACATGTTCATGTGTCTGTTCCAAGTTTAGAAACTTGTCAATATTTGTCTTTAACAACCATCGTCAAGGTTCACAATGGGCTAATATTGGTCCTAAGAATTTTATGTATTTTAATCAGGCCAAAATACTACCAAAACCACAAAGAAATAGTTGTGATATTACTATTTTAACATACAAAATAATTTCTTTTTTGGCACCTCACATTATAAATTATGAAATTATAACCCCTTGGGTGTGCATTATTTGTGTTTGAATGTCAGTTTTGGTCCATTTTTTCATAATTTATGACAGTTTTTAGCCTAATTAACTTTGCCACCATCACTATTCAAAAATTGTTTATTTCCAGAAATTCAATATAAATATTGGCACCTTTTTGTTGCACAACAATTTGAAAAACTCCAAAATGAGTTGACTTTGGAGTCTATAATATTTCATAATGAAGAGATTTCTTTAACTTATCCTTGAGGCTTTTGAAATGGATAAATTGCAGAACCAAATTGAAGCCTTTGTAATATTTTATGATAGAGCTGAAATTCAAGGCCATATTTGACAAAAGTGAAACCTTGTCCTTTGGCATATGAACATGTGGGAGGGTTATCTAGTTTTATTAAGCACTTAAACAACCCCTTTTTAACTCCATCAATAAGAATCACAAAAGGTCCATAGAACTAGTATATTGGTCAAGAACAACCCAGGTACAAGTTATTAATTTAATAACTGATGGATGGCTGTTAACATCCAGTGGCAACTATAACATGCAAATTCAGGAGGGTAACATGTTTTATTAATTATTAATTGCTTTTAAAATGTTTTATTTTCTCACCAATTTCTTATTTTTGATTTTAGGTATTTTGTAAAGAGAGCAATTTTGCTGTATTGACATAAAGAACAAACAGAATATTTCAAAGTTTCCTCTCTGCAGAAACCACCTGACATTCATATCCAAGTTTCTAATTTTCCTATATACTTGACTACCTGAAATTTCTATGATCAGATGGTGGATATAGACGTTTAACATCCAGTGTCAAAATAAATGCATATGTGCTATGAATCTGAGCCATGTTTTGTACTAGATTTTTAGTTAGATTTTTAGTGTGGAAGTTCACAAGGTTCAAATCCGACCAGTCTTAGCTATAAATCATTTAATGTCGAGTGCTAAGTGTATAAGCAGCAATGAAAGTTTTCAAGTCTTTGGTTTGACCCGGCAGTCGATCAAACCCTCGAACTCCCACATCGATGCGTATGAATTTTTGAAGGAATTGATTTTATTGTCTAACTGGAAGATGCATAGGTAAAATTGGTTTATAAAAAAGGGAGACTATATAACAAATAGGCAGTTAAAACCCTTAAAATGCAGGAAAAAGGTTACACCATGACCAATAGAAAAACACTCCACAAAACAGTACACAGAAAACTAAAACTTGTATGACACAAACCTGAGCAGGAGATTGGGGAGGGCTAATAATGTGCTCTAGAAGAGATAGCGGTGTCACCTGTGGAGTTATTTCTTATAAAATCCATTGATGTAAATATTGAATAAAAACAAATAAGATGTTCTTTAATAATGGTTCATTTTAATAATAAAGCTACAATATATATATATACATATCACCATCTAACATTATAAAAAAATCCATATAAAGTTAAAGCTTTATGTAGAAATGCCATGATTGTCTTTATACATCACATTTGCATAATTATATTAAATAATAAAAAAATGAGATTTAAAATATTTATGAGTGGAAAAATTAGATTGTAATATTCAATATTGACAATGCTGTACCAAAACAAAACTAAACTTTTTGTTAACAAGAAATGATTGTAACAAGATGCTGTTACGAAGTCTCCCAAACAAATCCCCATACGTATAAACCCCTCAGGACTTTTCCTATTGAATAAATTGAAGAAGAAAAAAGTTCAAGGTCATAATTGACCATTGACCTTTTGTCCTTTCAGTAGGTCATATGTCCCCAGGTCATTACTGAAGACCCCATGTGTCTATCACTAACTGTACTCAAGTTATAATAATTTGAAAATTAAAAAAAATTAAAATCCCATAGGGTTCTATAGTAAACCCCCTTTCTTTTGGCCCCTCAAGTAACGGTTTATAAATCTCATTGCACAAACAAACAAAACCCTGGTTGCACTACTAGACATATTAGTCAAACATATTGTGGAACCCTAAGTTAATCTGACTAGTGGTTTTGGAGAACGGGTGCGGACAAGTTCAAATTTGAAAGTGGCGGAAGAAGAACTGAGCAAAACAAACAAGTCTCCAAACTTTGTTTGGGAGACTTAATTAAGAATCATATGAAAAGTTGAAAGTTCACTTCCATTTATTCTATCAGTTCTAGTTAGACACTCGTCACCATGGTTCCTATATTAAGTTTTTGACAGGAGAAGAAATTCAATGGTAAACCAATTTTCTTCTAAAATTGAATTAAATTAAAATTGTAAAAAAAAGCTTTTGCAAAGACTGGTAGCTGTTGAGGTCAAAATTGATAAGAAAAAAAGCAAGGTAATTTGAAGTTTCAGTCTATGGGCTATTTCATTGTTCATAACAGAAAATGAAAATAATGTCACAATGATTTGGTGTAAACTTGGAAAGGTTACCCAGAATGCTTCAATATAAATAAAATAAATTGACATTCATATTAAGAATGTACTTAGGTGAAATTAAAAAAATCTAGAATTTAAAATTGATACTATAAGCCAGAAGAGCATTAGTTAAGGAACAAAATAAGCTAAAAATATTGACAGGTAATGGAGCTCCTTTTCAAGATATTTAATTTTTAAAAAATGGTGGGAAAAGGCTGACTCTGACTTTTTCCTTATATTTGCATTGGTATTATTTGGGTCTCAAATCAAGACAAGAAAAGAAACCTAGAACTTGCTGAAATTTTGGTAAACGACCTTTTATGAGCTATTGAAGTCTTAAATGAAAAGAAAATTGGGTGTTATTGGGCAAAATATTTTACCCTGTATCGTAGGAAAAAAACCAATGAGTCCAAACACCTGATAAAAATTCCTAAACCTGACCTAAGTACATCCTTAACTTATCTATATCTGAATATAAACTAGTTTAGGGTTGGTTGTCCAATCAAATTCCACCATTTTTCTCTAATATCACATACTGCTATTAATGAGGTAAAGTAAAAGTTTAATAGATATAAATGGGGAATGTGTCCATGGGACACAGATGATGCCCCCACTTGTCTATCATATAAAGAATGGTAAAAGTGACACTACCCAAATTTGTACTTGATTTGAGTTTTGTGGTAATAAGTATTGTGGATAAGTTTCATAACATTTGGTTGAGGCAAACTTAGGTTAGAGAATGGAAACAAAAAATTCAGCAATTTTTCCATTTGTAAAGGGGCATAACTCTAGAACAGTAAAAGTGACACCACCAAAATTCAAACTTGATCTGTATTTTGTGGTAATAAGCATTGTGTATAAGTTTCATAACATTTGGTTAAGGCTAACTTAAATAAGAGAACGGAAACCAACTTTGGGACGTACAGACAGACAAGGGTAAAACTTAATGCCCCCTCCGCTACGGCGGGGGCATAAAAATAAGATTATCATCAATTTAATTGGAAGTTGTGAACATAATGATAAATTCTGATTAAGAAAATAACATTTTCAAAATCAAAATATAAATAATAAAAGCTGCCAGCTTATATTTTAACATTATGTCTTACTTAAGGTGGTACCCAACACCTTGACTAATATTAATTTGGCTCGTTTAATTTTCATAAAATTTTGACAAAATGTTTACTTTGACCCTTTGACAAAAATATAAAAATTTCAAAAAATTTGAACCAACCACTTTATCAGAAAAATTTCGTTGGTTAATATTTCCTTAACAATACAACGTAATTAAAACGTTTAGCTGATTTTTAAAGAGTTATCTCCCTGTAGTGTTAGGTACCACCTTAAGATAATGAATTTTCAGTATCTGAAATGATTATATAAAACCATTTATCTGATTTTTGTCTATTTTGATTTTACAACTGTAAACCAACTATTTTATGTGAGCTTATTATTCATACACTTTGGAAGAAAAAAAATAATGCAAGTATAAATAGTCACAAATTTGTCCAATTTGGATCATCTTGATCTTACTTAATTAGAAAATTGTGAAAAAAAATTGCTGCAAAGTCGTCCATAAGTGATAAACATGTAAAGAAGTCTTCCAAAAAAATAATTGGGTATACAGTTTTATTCAATTTATGAATATGAAACAGGAACATTTGACTACAAATTCAAAGATATCAATCATTGAATTAAAATTCTTTGTTAACTATCATCAAACATTACAACTTATAGATATAGCGGGTAATACATATAGTAAAACAATTATTTGATTGTAAAGCATATTATATCATGAAATCTTCTAAAACACTTCATTTCTGAATCAGAAACAGTCATTTTTAAGTTTCAATGTCCAAAGATATATATTTCCCAAACTACACATTTCTGTAACATTAGATGAAGTTTTTCAAATAAAAAATAAAATATGTATCATATAAAGTAAAATAAAAAGTTTGATTTTCATACATGGATTTCTGATTGTAAATTGTTTAAGATTTGTAAACGTCTTTTATTAAATAGAAATAAAAGAAAATAACATAAATATGATGAATTACAAAGGTAATAATAAATACATTTCTATCTTCTATTGTCATGGAGATGTAAAAGGCAAGTTATATGCAATAATTGTGGAATGTCCAGATAAAAAAATTGGAAAATTACACTATTACTGTAAAGTTAAAAAGATAAAAAAAACAAAATATTACATTACAATATCATAATAGTTACAAAAATGAATCTGTATTACATAACACTATCCTAAGGTTGTTCTTCCTTGTTTAAACACGTTTGACCAAAAAATTTAACTGCCAGCTTGGTTATAGAGCAAGTTAACTTATAAAAAACAGAACATACAACCATTAATTATTAATGCCGTTCCATTGCTTCAAAAAATACTTTTCATCTTTTTACTTTGAAGATAAATTTTTTGTCTACATCACATTTTTCTTTTCATTGAACACATACTTTTAATGGCACATAAAACATATTATCCACTATGCTTTGAATTTCTTACTTTTACAATAGTTGTCCTTCTTTAAAGAGGGGTTTCACAACACTTTGCCTCCATATTATTACAGTGACTAATTTTCTTTCAACTAAAAAGGGAATTCACATTTTTCAAGTGTTGATAAGTTGATTTATCTTTCTTAGGTGACTTTTGTGTGTTCTACTTCTATGGCACAAAACAATGATAATATAAAGTTCTGATTATGGTAGAGTTTAAAGCTGCAAAAATAGAATGAGGAAATTTTAAAATGAATATTTGCATGAAGGGGTGATACTCTTCTCACTATAGTGACACAGTGATTCATGATTAATGATGATGGATTATCTAACTTGATTCATAATAAAATCTGGATTCTTTTCAAAAAAGATAATACATTTAACAAATACATTTAACTAATGTATTACATCTCTTTTTAAAATGCATCACTTAAAATTAACCCAATCTCAATTTGACTAATGCTTTCAATTTTGATTTTGTACATTTATAATGCTATATTCTCTGTACACTAAAAATACACTCTTCCAAAAATGCATCACTTCAAATTAAACCCATCTCAATTTGATTAACGCTTTCAATTTTGATTTTGTGCAATTATAATGCTTTATTCTTAGTGTAATCAAAAATTACTACACTTATAACAACAAATAGTTTTGATTAATACATTTAATAAATAAAATACTTCTATTACCAATCAATTAAAAACTACATATCTAATGAAGTTTTATACATGCTGTGATAAAAAAAATTATTCTTGGTGTACCAATTTCAAAGGATTTCATTCATATTTCATTAAAACTTAATGAATTGTAATGACCAATGAGATACTAATAAAATGTGCTTTGTGTGGGAACACAAATCAAGGAGATGTGGACCAAGTAATATTTTTTAACAACAAAACTGAAATCAATAAACAACCCTTTCAAAGTTTTTTCAATTTATATATATCACTTCATAATTGTCTACATACTATAATAGAGAATGGCTACATTGATTCAAGAAAAAAATCCCAAGAATCTAATGCTGAAATAACTAATAAGAGATCTACAAAAATCACCTCCTATCATAAAACTATATATATGTATAAATACTTCACTGGGAAATATCTTTTATAACAATCAAAAAATAAATGATTTTTGATTTCAATCATGAAAAGGCACTGTGGTCAGATAAATTAACACTTATTAAAAGAAAAGTTCTCATTCAATATTGTAAAACATCTTTCTAATGTATTCCTGATAACATCTTTCTAAAGTAATCCTGATAACATCTTTCTAAAGTAATCCTGATAACATCTTTCTAAAGTAATCCTGATAACATCTTTCTAATGTAATCTTGATAACATCTTTCTAATCCTGAATCACATCTTTCTAGACAAACTAATACTTATTGTATATATATATTGTTTTGTTATTAAAATAGTAAAATGGAATTAAATAATAACAAGTTTAAATACCAAATACACTCACAAACATTAACAGTTACATAATAATAAAACACAGAAATAATATTTGAAATTTGAGTAGTTGCAGACATGCGATATTTGCGTAGTTACTGATATTTTTTTTTCTTTAGCTATTCCATACTTCAATTTAAATTGACAACCCTGGCAAAATTTGACTGCTCATACATGAATGACCCCGAAATTATAGGATTCTGTAAATATTGATTTTAAAACATAAAACGTTCTTCTGAAATTCAGTATTGTTACTTTTGAATGCCGTAAACTTTGTACAAAGTTTCATGAAATTTCTAAGATCAATTTCTTATTCAATTGAGAGTTTCCTAAAATTTTGCATTACAATGAATCTTTTCTGTCTTGTTCCTGATTGGCTTAAATTAATTTAGATTTAATCAGGTATTATCCAATTAAAATACAAGATATACTTCACTCTAACAACACATTAAAATTGTGTAAAGCATTTCCAAGATATTTTAGAAACTCAAACTAAAAAGCAACTAGCTTAAATTAAAAGTTTTTTGTTAGATTATTTTTTAAATATAAAATGATTGGTCCAAAGTAAAGCACAGGGAATATTCTCCTGTATGGTTTTTCGTCACTTCTTCACTGGAGGTTTTTATCTATTGTTATTGTTCTGTTGTTGTTCAAAGAACATGAAATCCTGGAAAAAAACAAACTATAATTAATACTGATACTAATTTAACATGGTCTGATTACTTATATTTATACTAGAGTTATGCTGAGGACTATTCAATTAAATTGAATGTAGGGGTGTAGGAAGGGAGTTCTATTTTTTGTTTTGGGTTGTGTTACATGTATGAAATAATACCCAAAGAAAGTATGTTGGTTATAGTGAAATATTTCAAGTACCTACCTACCCTTCTGCATTCATCTAAATGGAATAACCCAGCTGAATCGACATTTTTTTTTATATTTCACTTCAGATTTCAAATAAAACAAGTGAAACTGCAAGCTACTGCTCAATGATGATTACCCCACCGCAACTGGATAATTTTAATAGAGTAAAATGATGTAAATGTTCGGTAAACAGGAAGTTGTAGAGTGATGAATCTGAAAACACATCACACGGTATATCTGACTTATATAAACCCTGAACCCAAATTTCAGAAATCCTTATGATGTAGTTCCTGAGAAAGCTGCGACGAAAAATATTCATGGGACGGATGGATAGGAGGACGGAAGGACAGAGGAAAAACAGTAATACCCCCACTTTTTTAAAGCGGGGGTATAGATATCCAAATATCCAATTTATTCCTGTTTCTGATTTGAATTTAGAAACAGTACATAAAATGATGACAAGATTAAGCCTAATACTTAAAAGATATTTATACCTTTAGAGCCTTAATAAAATTGATATATACACAAAAGTTAAAGATTTAAACTGAAATATGGGTGAATTGACAATCTTTATGAATCTCATTATAAGAAAAGACTACACTATTCAAATTGTTGATAATACTTTTCTTGAAAAAAAAAATAAAATTAGGATATTTATATGATTATTTTTTAATAGTCTTTAGGGTTGTTCCATAAAAATATATATGTGACCCAGGGAAGGCAACTTAAATTTGTCACTATGGGTTGGTGCGAAATATTGTGTTTATTGGGTTTAAAATTATGCAGGACTCTAAAATCGCTTCTATGGGTGGTCACTCCGTTGTCAAAGTGCCTTCCCTGGGTACCATGTATGTTTTAATGGAACAGCCCTTACCCCTTTTTCTATTATAAATAATTGTTGCCATATTATTTGATTATAAAATCAAAAGCAAGAATAAAACTAGATATTTAAAATCGGGGAAATAAAATATCCCATGGATAATTGTACTTAAATTTTGTTCAACAAGCCACTCTATTTCTAAGGTAACTTACAATTAAGAAAACTGCTCCTAAAAGTGTAGCTTTGACTTTAACATCCAGATCCTTAGGAACTGAAAATATATTCATATACATTACTATATAATCTTCTTAAATTCTTTAATAAATCACCAATGAATGTTACACAACTGCTCTCCACTGTGTGTGTAAATATTTACAGTATACAAAGCTAAAATTGAAAGTAATATAAGCTGATTATATATAAGAAGATGTGGTATGAGTGCCAATGAGACAACTCTCCATCCAAGTCAAAATTTATAAAAGTAAATCATTATAGGTCAAAGTACGGTCTTCAACACGGAGCCTTGGCTCACACCGAACAGCAAGCTATAAAGGGCCCCAAAAATTACTAGTGTAAAACCATTCAAACGGGAAAACCAACGGTCTAATCTATATAAAAAACGAGAAACGAGAAACACTTATGAACCACATCAACAAACGACAACTACTGAACATCAGATTCCTGACTTAGGACAGGTGCAAACAAATGCAGCAGGTTTAAACGTTTTAATGGTTATTTACAATGTATTTTTTGTCTTTTGTAATATAAGTGTGTAGTTGAATGGCTATCTTTATTGATGAATATCAATAACATTTCCTTTGGTTTAAATGTTCCTTCCCTTTTCAAGTTAAATCAATGCTTAAATTTTGTCTCTCTTATTCCTGGTGCATGTTAACCAGTTTCTACTAGTTGGAAATATTTTTTATAAACAACGATTTGATTAAATTGTGATAGGAGATTTCCTACCATGTCTTTTTGATATCAGACAAATATAGTGTACTATAAATAATATGAGACATTGATTTCCATGTGCATAATTAATGTTCCTAAAAATAATGCATGAGATTAAAAATTACACAGGCAAAAAATTAAACCTTTTAAGAGCACAAAAAAACAAAAGGGCCTTAACAGAACAGCCTAAACTGTATAAGGTTAACCCTGCCAGAGAATATCAAATAAACTAGAAAGGACCAATATATAAATAAGGAGATGTGGTATGATTGCCAATGAGACAACTATCCCCCTAAGTTCAAATAAAGTGAATGTAAACAATGAATAGACTTCAACAATGAGTAAAAGTTCACTTTTGTAAAAATGTGGACTTAAATTTCCAATTATCATAAACATCAAAAAAGCCACATTTTGGTTCTTAAATGGAGCTATTTCAAAAGCCAGAATGGTTAAATAAAACAAATTTCCTTGTAAGGTTTCATTATAGGCTCCAAACCGTGCACATTTTGGAGATATTGACAAAACGCTATGTTTTTAACCTAAAATGCACAGACAAAACTTGGCAGCAACCTACAATCCAAATCTTTTGTAACCAAAAGGTACCAAGGTTTTTATTGAATCCCTGAACACAACAATTTTATGGATTAGAGGTTGTGACCAAAGCTATCTTTGCTTAAAACAAGAATGTGTCCATATTACACAGATGCCCCACTCGCACTATCATTTTCTATGTTCAGTGGACCGTATAATTGGGGTCAAAACTCTAATTTGGCATTAAAATTAGAAAGATCATATCATAGGGAACATGTGTACTAAGTTACAAATTGATTGGACTTCAACTTCATCAAAAACTACCTTGACCAAAAACTTTAACCTGAAGCGGGACATACGGACAAATGGACAAACGAACGGACACAAAGACTGAAAAACATAATGCCCCTCTACTATCATAGGTGGGGCATAAAAATGTAACAAATTATGAAAATTTGGACCAAAACTGACATTACAACATACAAAATGCATAATATAGGGGTCATCACTAAGTAATGTGATATGCCAAAAAAAGTATAAATTTCTTGTTATATCACAACTTTTTCTGTGTGTAAGTACTTTGGCAAGATTAAAATAAAAATCTGTTAGCCATTCTTACCCTTTGTGAACCTACTACTTAACAGAACAAGTGTATCATTTATAGCATGGCAGTACTAACTTTTTGGAGAAGTTTTAAAACTTACAAGATACTCCAAAGTTGTCAGCGTCTGTAAAGGCCTCTCTCAATAGTCCAGTCCACTGTTTACTGATCTTACCGACCTCATGGGCCTCATCTTCTGATGAGATCTACAAAATAAAATCTTTAATTAACTGGATTTTTGTTCAAAACTATCTTGACATTAAAGCAAAATAATTAATTTTTAGATTCCCATCCCCCTTCCATAAAAATATGTCTAAATGAGGATTAATATTTAGTATCATTTATTTTTATTTTTAACAAGGAGTTGTTCTAGTAAGTTTCTTGAAATTTGTAGGCAAAACAAAATGATAGACCTTTACCACAATCACCTCTTGTTCTGCAAAACTACATAGTCTCGGAAACAGCATGATTTTTGAACATGGTCCCTTACTGTTGGACTATACTAAAACTAAGCCTGAAACTCTTGTTAAACAAAAGAGAATAGTCCCTGTAAATTATACAACATGGCTCATCTATTCCAAGGATAGAATGATGGACAACATTTACAAAATTTCTGAGAATAGGATGATGGGCCATACTATAAACTCTTGGTCCTGTGGATAACATGGTCCCTGTATGATACAGCATGGTCCTTAGAATAGGTTGATGGGCCATACTATAAACTCTTGGTAGTGAGGACAACATGGTCCCTGTATGATACAACATGGTCCTTTCACCCTGAGAATAGGTTGATGGGACATACTTACTATAAACTCTTGGTCCTGAGGACAACATGGTCCCTGTATGATACAGCATGGTCCTTTCATTCTGAGAAAAGGTTGATGGGACATACTTACTATTTTGCTTATTGAAAATATGAACATTATGTTTAAAGTGACTTATAGGTCCAACGGGCCGGGTGTAATTTAAAATAATCATTGTCTTAATATTAATATGTAATATTATTTATATGATACAACATGGTCCTTTCATCCTGAGAATAGGTTGATGGGACAAACTTACTATAAACTCTTGGTCCTGAGGACAACATGGCCCCTGTATGATACAGCATGGTCCTTTCATTCTGAGAATAGGTTGATGAGACATACTTACTATAAACTCTTGGTCCTGAGGACAACATGGCCCCTGTATGATACAGCATGGTCCTTTCATTCTGAGAATAGGTTGATGGTTAGCATCTCTGATGGTGTAGTTTGGTTCCCAGCAACTCTGCCTATAAACAGAATATTGTTAAAAACTCTTCATCCTAAATGCAAGCCAGTTCTGTATTTGAAATATTTATTTCTTATCAAAATAACAAAACAAAGCAAAGGAAAAGTACAATACTTTTATTTTAAACAAAACATCATAAATTGTTACGTGTTAAATTATACAATTTAGATAACATCTACCACTAAAGCTGTTGTGCTCCTACTAATATAATTTCAAGACCCAATTTTGATAATATTTAATTTAAATTAATTTATAATCAGATTAAATAAAACTTGAAAAACTGCTCCCCAATTTGTATGAATTAATTACCAAAGTCCATGTTTTGCTTGTAAAACCCCTAAAACTATTTTGATTAAAAATAAAATGCTCCTCAGGGGAAAGCTTGATACTACCGCAGAGGTCCAACCATGAAAAGTTGGGGGCAAGTATGGACACAACATTCAAGCTTAATACAGGTCTGAATTTGGATTGTGAATAAATATTTGACACAGCATATGTTTTGGAAACAGAATGAATGTGGTATAAGAACTTAAAAATTTGAAATTGGACATTTTCCTATTATATGTGGTCCAATATCTTAAATGTAAATACATGAGTAGATTCAGCATATCAAACCCCAAGAATTCAATTTTTTATGAAATCAAACCAAAAAATTTAATTTTGGATCCTCAATGTGGACCAATTTGTTACTGGGGACCAAAATCCAAAATCTAAATACACGGTTAGATTCAGCATATCAAAGAATCCCATTTATCAAATTTTTGTTGTAATCAAACAAAGTTTAATTTTGGACCTCTATTTGAACCAACTTCAAAAATTTGGACCAAAATCAAAAATCTAAATACATGTTTAGATTCAGCATATCAAAGAACCCAAGAATTCAATTTTTGTGAAAATCAAATAAAGTTTAATTTTGGACCCTTTAGACCTTAATGTGGACCAATTAGAAAAAGGGACAACAAAAAAAAAAGATCTAAATACAGTTAGATTCTGTGTATCAAAGAACCCCAATAATCCATTTTTTGATGAAATCAAACAAAGTTTAATTTTGGACCCTTTGGACCAATTTAAAAACAGGGCCCAAAATCTAAACTCTAGATACACAGTTAGATTCAGCATATTAAAGAACCCCGAGAATTCAAGACTTTAAATTATACCCCATTGAAATTGGTCGAGAAATAATCAATTTATACAAAGTAATAGTTTTTGGCTTCTTTTTCCTAAAAGATAAGGGCCATTTCAAAAATTTCACCAAAAAATGGAAGGTGGACCATTTGAAACTACATATTCTATTAAAATTTCATTGAAATTTGTTTTCTGGTTTAGTAAAAGTTATGAATATGAGGTTTGGACAAATGAACAAACAACCAAAAGAATGAATAGACACAATCAACTACTATATACATGTACCATATATTCAGTAAGCAGGGGTATAATAATAAAAAATAATTGTAACATACAGTAAGTAATATATACAATGTAAACAAAAGGATTACAGATCCCAAAGCAGACTGTTGCTGTTATAGTTGTGTTATTTTCAAAATATAAGATAAAGCAAGTCCATACAATCTATTTTTAGGTTATTGAAAACATGTCAACAATGTCATGCGTACTTCACATATGATATAAATCAAAACGTTGTTTTAAGGGGGAATAAAACAACTCCAAAATCTATTTTTCTTACACAAGAATATTCTATAATTATTTCTGAAAAAAAAATACTCTTGGGTATAAATCTTAAGTTTTTTTACTGCAAATTTTATAAAATCAATATCAATATTTTCATTCCTGGACATATTACATCACCAACAGAGGGAGGGTAACAAAGAAACTCATTCATGAAAAGTAGACTGTGTGAAACTTTTAAATAACCAGTCTTTGTCTCTGTAGCGTATACTTAAGTTATCTGATATATTTTGATTTGACCGGTATGCATTTTGAACAAGGATTGTCAAAAAAAATTTAGGAAATCAATAGGGCCTAAATATCATTTTTAAGAAATCCAGAACTATTCTTCTATTTTTTTCCCCCATTAAATTTAATAAAATCCATGGGCCTATGAGCTGACTGCATTTTTGAACAATGATTACAAACAGCAAACCTTGTTATATGGAATGAAAAAAATCTGACATTTTTACCTGAAAATATTAACTACCTGATTTACTGTGCTTCCCTATATATCTGAATTTATTTACTTCAACACATTTATGATCTTAACTTACTCTTGTCTGACATAACCCACTACTTGTCCAGGTGGCGCCTCTATCGATATTTCATGTGCAATAGAATCAGAGCTAGCACACCAGCAACATCCTGCACAACATTTAAATTCTCGTTTTACCTGGATCAATTCCTACAAATACTTTCTATAATAAGCATTCATGCAAATTAATGCAGTGCAGTAGATTTGATATACTTCCAATAATCAAATAAAATTTTCTGCCAAGACTTCAAAAATTCTTTACTTAGCCGAAAAATCCTGATTCAATTCAGTGAGTATATTTTGTTATGGACTGGATTCAATTCAAATTATTAAGCATGCTAAACAAAACAATTACAGATTTAATACACATGTACATTAACTATACATCTATTCTATCTAAATATATAAAAGATGATGATTTATAATGGAAATTTTTTTTAACTCTTGTTTGTATTTCCCCTGACAAATGAGATTCTGTAATAATGAGGGGACCCCTAAGTTGCTTCCTTTGACATTTAGAGTTTATGAAACAGGTGATTATTTATAAAAATATATTTAAAATTGAAAAAATGATTCCTTTTTTTATCTTATCATACATAGTTATCTCCCATTTATCTGTTTAATGTGTCAAACAAATTTGTTATAGATCAATGTTTGGTCTAAAGTAATAAAACACTTCGATAAAAAACCTAACTATTCTAGAGCATATGACATAAACTTATGATGACTGAAACTTTTGTTTGTCACTCTAAGTCTCGCCAATTGTTGATTTAAATAAGCTCAGGTAAACACTGCATAGGTAACATAGTATGGAATCAACTTGGCACTTTGATTGTTTGAATCCACTTCCAGGTTTAAAAGATGTAATTTTAGTTTCACAATTTTAATTTTAACAGTTTTGTATATCTATGTCAATCATAAGACCATGAACTACAATAAACATTGTTTAATCAATACAAAACAGATAGCATGTATAGTGATCTTGTTGGCAATGACCCAAAAATAAACAGTTGGTTCATTACTGATGTATATGTAAAATTACGAAACAATTTTTTTTTTCCATTTGCTTCGTAATTTTGTAATGAACCAACTGTTTATTTTTGGCCATTGCCAACAAGATCACTATACATGCTATCTGTTTTGTATTGATTAAACAATGTTTATTGTAGCTCATGGTCTTATGATTGACATAGATATACAAAATATCAATAATTCTAACTGATGAGACATTTTTTCATGTATATATCAGTTTTAAATAAATGGATGTGTATTCAGAAAGTGAAGTGTATTCTATACAGTTGGTAAGCAGGATGAACTAGAAACAGAGAGGTACAATCTTACAGCATAACAAGGCATCATTATTTACTAAAAACATGCATTTCTTACAGATGCAAGCATACATATCTTTACAGTATTTCAAAGAAAAAAAATATTTCCCAAAATATAATTTAAGATGACCTGTTTTAAGAGGATTGATTTATTTCTGGTCTGTTTCATTATAATGATTTTCTTCATACAAAAAGCTTAGTGCTTTTTATTTGCAATACTCTTTCTGAACAAAATGAATAAATAATTTATATACTGTAAACCAACTAATTTTCGCGAGCGATTTATTTTCGTGACTTTCGCGAGTAGAAAAATAACGCTAATATAAATCGTCGTGAAAATATAAAACTTGGATCTTTCCTTATCTAACTACATCAAGTAAATTTGAAAATCGCGAAATTAAATCGCCGCGAAGTGGGCTAGAAAGGACTAAACGCGAAATAAAGTATCCGCGAAAATAAATTGGTTTACAGTATATAATAAATGATAAACATATAGTAAATTGCTTTATCAGCTGTTAATATAAATTACAAAAGCATAATACCTGTCCTAAATTATCTGTAATGTGTATTGTAAAACCCCTCTGTGGACCACAACACTGTCTCATACACATATCAGATTCTGTAATGAAAAATATAACAACATTATCTCCCCCTGTATCTATGACATGCATAGTAAAACCTCTCTGTGGACCACAACCCTGTCTTATACACATATCAGTTATACAAAATATAACCAAATTGCATCCCCTTTATCTGTTATGTATATTGTCAAACCTATCTGTGAACCACAATACTGTCTTATACAAATAGCAGACTCTAATAAAAAATATAACAAAGTTATCTCCCCTTTATCTTATAATGACTGAGAAACTTGTTGTCACTCTTGGATTTCATTGATATATCAAAGTATTTGAAAGACAATCTTGATTTACTGTAAATCCAATCATTTTAGGTGGATTGAAGAAGAACTCTTATATATATAATAGTGATTTTGATAAATTCTGCAAACAAGCCTTTTATAGGAAATTTATTTTGTTGAATCATTAATTTTGTGGTTCAAGTATATTAATATTCCACAAATATATAACACTGAACTGTTTTTCTCTAAATTATGTTTTTTATGATTATACGTCAGAGTTTTACTTTTTATTTCATTTGTTCAAAGCATGGCAACAACTGATGCAGGATATTAACCATTTTAAGTATGAAATGATGTGTAATTCTATGTACTTGATTCAACAATCCATATCAAAAGAGGATGAGATTGGGCTTGTGTGCCGTTATCTCAAGTCTAATGCAATTACAGAAAAAAGTTAAAACTCTATTTTATCATACATTTGTAAGCAGGATTTAACACCATATATCCTGGGATTGATGCCCTGAAACAGTAAATAGACAGGCATTTCCTTGAGCAAAAACATACAGACAGACACTCAGCACTACATAACCCTGCTATTGAGTAGTAACAAACATTGAAGAGGGAAAATATTTGATACTTTAAATTACTTTTTTTTTTTTCTATAAACCAAAATTAAAACAAAGTTCTATGAATATACAGGTCAACCATAGTCAAACTGATACAATTTTTTGCTCAATCCCTCTTCTTTAAAATAATATTGAATTTGGTTCATTCTATGACCTTCTTTGTACCAACCTTCTGCTGCAAAGTAAATCTGTTGTCCCATACTATTCAACACTTTGTATCTGTTGGAGGTCTCCCAGCCTGTGATTACTGTAATATATGATAATATTATACTTATGTTGCTTGTATTTATCTATTGTATACCAGCCAGTCTATATTGGTTATTTTTATAGCTTACTATATAATATGGGTTTTATTCATTGTTGAAGCTGTATGGTGATCTGTCATTGTCACATGTTAGTCTTTGGAAAATAGTCGTCTCACTGCCAGTTATACCAATTCTGTTTTAACAAGATTTATCACCAATAATCATCGCAAAAACCATTTAACGTCACATACCCAATTTGCACCAATTTTGTAAAATCAACAGCAGAAATCTTGTATGTTTTCTTAGAAATTAAACAATTTGTTATTTTTTTTTAATTATGCACGTCTTTCAACACAGCTAAATACATTTAAATCTAAACAAAGCGGTCACATTATATATCAACAGATGAAGTACCCAGTGAAAAAAGGAAATTATGGAAATGTTGCATGCAACGTCAACAAAAAAAGTCTATATTTATAAATGAGCAATTAAAATATGTTACAGGCATCCATTTTTTGCAAAATGCATCGTAAGCATGGACTTTTGTCAAATTGTTCTAAAAATGAGGAGAAATAAAACAAAACTTCAGTCATTTGATTTTTGCAAAAGTGAAGCTAGGCATGGGTGCAATTTAAGTACTGTTTATTACAGAATTTTGGGTCATTTGGAGGTCATTTTAAATCCATTTTTTTTTATTCAGTATGAATTCAAAATTACATTAGTGGAACTATATAGTAAACAAGGATACATCTACAAAAAAAAGACAGAATGAAAACTTTTGACCATCTCTTAAAATAAAAAAACTGTCAAAACAGGTGCAATTTGTCTACCCTCATGTTACAGTGGTATACCTACATTCCATAAGTTCAATCTGTTGTTTGACTAGCATCTGATCTAATGTGGTCAGATATTCCAAACCTGGAGGACATCCTGGGATAGCATCAGGTCTGGCTGCCCACTGTTGCTGAGGAGGCATACCTACAATACATGAAACCATTCCTTTATATAAACATTTCACAGTAGAATTAAAACCTTATTATTTTGCATTGTACATGTATGATTAGCTACAATGTTCAAAATACACAATATTACTGTCATAATCATGTTTAAGATACATGAATTGCACATTTGTGATTGTCCATGAAGTAATCTTTGGATTTACCTCTCACTGTCATGATAGACAACTTTCTAATTTTAGTTTTATGTATGAACTACCCGGTTGATCTGGGGTAATTTAGGGGAAAAATGTGTCATAGGACATTGTGATATGAAGATAGTTGCTTTATGATGTCAAATGTTTCTGGGAAAATGCATTAAGGTGGTACCCAACACCTTGACTAATATTAATTTGGCTCGTTTAATTTTCCTAAAATTTTGACAAAATGTTTACTTTGACCCTTTGACAAAAATATAAAAATTTCGAATAATTTGAACCAACCACTTTATCAGAAAAATTTCACTGGTTATATAGCAGTTTGACAAACACTAATTTTGATCATTGAGAAGCTTAATATTTCCTTAACAATACAACGTGATTAAAACGTTTAGTTGATTTTTACAGAGTTATCTCCCTGTAGTGTTAGGTACCACCTTAATTGGAAGATCGTGTATTACCGGTCATAAGACCAAATTATTTTCAAATAGTTACATCATGATCAGATAATTGTACAAAAATAACTCCTTTAACTGATCAAAAAGATAAATAAATGCATTTCAAGTAATAATCAATTTGTTCATACATGTAGTGATAATGTACATGTAGTGATAATGTACATGTAGTGATAATGTACATGTACATGTATGTATAATGAATCTAGGGATAACAGTTAGGGAGAAAATATTAAGAATTTTAAGACCATCAAACCAAAAACTGATGCCCAAAAATCTTCAAATACATCACTGTTATCTCAATACTTATATGTTTCATGCAAATGAGGGAAACACTATCAAAGCATGAATCTTAAAATAATTTCATTGCAAATTGTTCTGTGGGTTGATTTTCAAACCATTAATTGAGGAATTGATACCCTGAACTTTTTGACAATATCCAAACAACATAAACATAAATCTGAGAAAAACTAAGCCAGTAATTGTTATGACTATACATTGTAGATTGTGTAGTAGAATATAAAAAGGAAATCCAATAATTTTGAGTCTATTTAGATCATCGTAATGTTTTAGTATAGAAAGAATAAATTGTCAATTTATATTTCTGAACTTTCAACTATATTACACCATTTTTGAAATGCTGATCTCCTTTAACATTTTGACACATATAGCCTTATTTAATCCTACCTGGAGGAGGTCCAAAGCCTGGAGCATATCCTTGTGGAGGAGCTCCATATCCCTGTTGAGGGGGTCCATACCCTTGCTGTGGAGGTGCTCCATATCCTTGCTGTGGAGGGGCCCCATAACCTGGCTGTGCATATCCAGGTGGAGGGCCTCCCGGCATTTGCTGCATTCCATATCCTTGTGGCTGTCCTGTAAGTCATATATACAAGTCTAATCTCAGTCAAATCAATAAATTCATGGATTGTTTCGTTAAAAAAAAAAAATAATTTGACAATGCATATCATTTTCTTAAGCATTATTTTATCTCGTTCATATCTGTAAATTATATAAAATATCCCTTTCGGTCAGTGTGTGTGTTCTGCTTGTTTTTTTGCATAGACATTTCTGATGAAAATATTAAAATATTTAATCATCTATATTACTTGTACAGGTAACCCTTATTTGTGCATGGTTTACTTGTACAGGTAGCCCTTATTTGTGCATGGTTTACTTGTACAGGTAGCCCTTATTTGTGCATGGTTTACTTATACAAGTAACACTTATTTCTGCATGGTTTACTTGTACAGGTAACCCTTATTTCTGCATGGTTTACTTATACAAGTAACACTTATTTCTGCATGGTTTACTCGTACAGGTAGCCCCGATTTCTGCATGGTTTACTTGTACAGGTAACTCTTATCAGATTAGATACATCAACATTGACAATACTATTGAATAACTATTGAGTTATTTACTGTACATGTACTTTAACTGATAACATATATATACCCTAATCAATCAATTCATAATCAAATTATTGAATGTAAAAAGTTAAAAATGTTAACATGTTTAAAGTGCTAGCCTACATTTCCTATATTTACTTATTGTTTGACATTTGACTTAGTAATTAATTATTTCTAGATTTTATTAAGGATTTACACCTTAGTGAAATGACTCGCTGTGAAATGCAGGCTATACCAAGAAGTGATTGATCAAAATATAAATATCATCCACTATACATGGTGTACATGTATACGTATATTCCAGCAATAACACAATGGCATACAAAACAGAAATTATTGTTATAAATGTGACCGACAGACAATAGCAATTATTAAACCTTGCCTTTTTTTTTCATTTTCTTCCTGGTATGTTGGTGAATGAATTCCCTTTAACCATGTTAACCATAGGTGTGATCGATAAGTAAATTATTACCTGGGCCACTTAATAAGTTGGGTTTTTTTAAACAAATAATTCTGCGGATTGTGTAATCAGTGAAGACTTGTGATATTTATGACACTTCAATTGTTTAATGGTTTGTTCATCACATACACATATGTTTGGGTTTGATCAAAAGATTCTGGGAAGTTGAATCAAGAGCGAACGCGCTATATCGTCTTATGCTTTTCAGTTTTTGTATCCAGTGAAATATTACAACCCTATGTTTTCTTAAAACAAACATTTCAGTTTCTCATTATTGTAACTAGTCCAAAAATAAAAGGGGTAATCTCGAGGAAGGGTCTGTGAAACTAATGTAATCCTTTATAATCAATTATTAAGCTACAAGTAGACCTTTCGCCTAATTAAATCAATAAAATGTGAAAGAGAATTTCAGCAGGTTTCAGATCCCCAAATTTTGCATGAAAGATTTAATGACTGAAATTTTGTTCATTGTTTCTAGATTCCTGCCAGCCAGTGCATATGACAAGGGTTGAGAAATATATTCTCCTTTTATTTAAATAAAATTACAGAATAGAATTATAAGGCAGTTGATCAATGATTAAATAATGATCATGAAGATGATTGCAAATAAAAAAAGGTAAAAATAAGTACATCTTTGACCAATGCCGATATATAAAAAAAAAAAAATTTGTGGCAGGGGTAGGTGAATTAAAAACCTTATATTTTTGCTGGGGGATTCCTGAATCACATTAATAAATTTCTGAATTTACAGTAAACATGAAATTGTTAGTAAAGGCATCTGAATAATCTATTTAAAAAATAATCAGTGGTTTATAATTTAATATAAATTATGCAACGTTAACATATACTAACAAATCAAGCAGAGTCAAACAAGCAACATAGTGTTGATTAGTAAGAACAGAAGTTTCAAAATAATACAGTGACTAAAAACCAAGTCTGATTAATTATATGGTTAGTAAGAATAAATATGACAGAACTACAAAGAAATCCAGTACACCTATTGATCTTACCATATTGCATCTGCATATTGACTTGATTTGGGTCAGCTATAAATAGTACCAATTATAAAAGTATAAATATTTACCAATTAGAAAGAAGGAAAAATACAACATTTGACAAAAAATGTTGACTGATTTTTCCAATCCTCTTTATTTCTATTGTATATATTAACTATATTTGTCTAATATTGTGCACTCTTAAAATGAAGTTTACTTAATTAACTATCATAAAGTGCTTCAGTTTTAATCACTATTGACAAGGTTGATTCAATTGAAAATTTAGATTTTGTTACATTGTATCTTATTACAAAATGGCACTTCAAAACCCTTAATAACTCCACTGGCATTCATTACATTTGGCATTACAATAATTTAAAACATCAGTATACATGTACCAGGTTGGGACAAGATATCTTTGGGATAGTTTGGGTTTTTTGTATTTGGTTCAAAGTACATTTAACAGTAGTGTTTCCTCATAAAATTGTGTTTAGCATTCTGGTAAGTTGGAAATTTTGAAATTCCAACTTGTTTCTAGAAATTTTATGACATCATATCCATAACACAATCTTTTAAAAATAAATTCAGATAGCAACACATACTTAAAGGCCCTTAGGAGAACACCAAATTACAACAATCTCACTGGTTGACTTCACTTGACATGATTTTGTCACTAAAGACAAAAGGGAGATGTCAATCAAGTTTTATTAGTGATTTAAAACTTTTTTCCAATCAATCTTGAATCTCAACAGTGGTTGTCTGTTGCCTTATCAGTATGTTTTTTGTTATAATGTATTTGGAGAATTTGGTGTTGGTGATACAGGTACCTGTAGATCTTTGATAGTATGTGCTAAATTCATTGACTATGTTTTTAAGTGGTACATACTTGTTCATTGTTGAAGACCGTATATGTTGATCTCTTGATATCTTTGCATTATTTGTGTTGTTGGGTTGCTGTCTCATTTACATATAGCCCAAACATCTTTTCATTTATAAACAAATTTGTCAATGGACATCAACTCACTCTGGTCTTTTTGAGTTAATCATGTTTATAGACATAAACAGTCAAATGAATTAAAAATGTTCCTGATTTTGAGACAATAAATGTTTTACCTGTAGCTGGCTTCTGGTCTGACATGTTGATATTTTCCTAAATCAAAAAGAAAACTATTTTAGTAAGAACCTCTGATGTCAAACTGATTAGTTGCCAAAGAAGAAAACATTTCACCTAATCATTGATAATTTCTGATTTATAAGATTTTCACAAAATCATAACTTAATTGGAATTATGTGCTTATTTTACACTAGAATAGAGACAACTGTATTGAACTTTATGTTGGCCTATGTAACTTGGTTTAACTGTTGCAAAAAAAGAAATCTGTTTACCTGTAGCTCTCAGCTATGCGTTGCTACATGTAGGTAAGCTCAATTTGAGACAGGAAAACCAAGGTGCTAATTAGGCCAAGCTTAAAATACATTACAGCTTTCTCCTTAATGACATAATCTACATGGGTTTTACCATGCTGCGTTGCAAAACACGTTGACGTAAACTTCTGTCGAAGCCTCTTTGGTCATCTTCATCTCCATATCTCCTATTCCAAGTCATTTGGTTAATTGAAAAGTTATTCATTCTCGACAATTGGTTTATATTGGTTAAATCTAGTCAGATCTTTGTTAAATTATTTCAATAATGATAATTTATCTTCTGAACTCAAACTAAGGAAAGTCTTATCTTGTTTTTGTTTACATTTCATTATTTTTATATGTAGATTATCGTTATACATACGTGTTCTTTAACGAAAGATTTGCTTCCCGGAGTGTAAAAAATACGTGTTCCTGTTACACAGGTTCAACAAATACACGTGTTCTTTAAAAGCTTTTATTTTGAAATACCCGATGCGTCACTTTCACGAGCAGTGTGAAAAGATATGTGTGAAAAAGGGGGACGCGTTATTTATATGATACGCAAGGAGAAAAATCTTAAATAAAGACGCCTGCAAAATGCAATTGAAAAAAAATCAGAGAAATGAGCTTGATTAAAATAGTAATTGGCACAAAAAATACCTGATAATATCGGTGAGTCCCACCTATTTTTATTTTATGTAAACTTCCGGTTTGGTTTTAAGAAGGACTGTCTAATAGAGATATTACGGTACCGTGATTACACCCCGTCCAGTAAGACGCTTCCGCGTTTTTGCGTCAATGCGGCGAAATCATACACAACACAATAGTAAGCAACTCTGATAAAAAAAATACAATGGATAAGCTTAATAATATTTATATCTATTAACTTGATTAGGTAGTACCGTTTCTAAAAATCTTTAAAATTTGACCTCATGTTTTTATGAATGGTTTATAATACCGACAGATCTCTTATCACCAAACGTCAAAATTTTGCGTGTCAGACGAAACAAGCTATACGCATAAAAACCTTGAGGAAAAAGTGAAATTCGCGAAAATTTGCATGAATTTTCGATGGCATTGTTCTTTTATGATTTTATCATCGAATTTGCGCTGATTCAACGATTGTTTTGGCAAAAATGAATAGTTATCATCATGGTAAGTTTTCTGGAAATATTAAGTTATAAAAGTTTAAGTCTTTTTTTAATATACGGCGATATGTTTTTTTTTCCGTTTTGATAAATGATGCTTACAAAAGAACTTGAATAGATCATTCCCAAACCTATTTTGTTTACAACATTCATGCCACAAATAAAAACGTAACGGTATTTAGTAAATGTCAAATGTCCAATTTGGGCGCTTTTTTTCAGGTAAACTTGTGACATCATTGATAACAATATTCGAATTCAAGTATATACCCTAGCGCCCGCAGTTTCCGTATTTGTACTTGAACACTTCAAAACGATTACATACTTTTTGAGGGTTTGCTTACTCATTTTTGAACAATTCAAATCGAATGTCTTACAACGAATACATAGATATTTTTTGATAAACCTCATTTTTGAACAATTTAAATCCAATGTCTTACAACGAATACATAGATATTTTTTGATAAACCTATCTAAATGAAATATAAAAATTTTGTCAATGAATAAGTTATATAATTATTTTAAAACTAACCTTTCCTACAATCATTATCTTTCAAAATTTGAATTTACGAGCCATTAAAATTTGTGAAGAATTGATTATCTAATCGTGTTTAACTTTTTAAGTAGGACTTAAGATAGAATCAATTGTAACCAATTCCCCACTGCTTCATTTAAATCAAAATTGTGGGCTTCTTCCTTCTTTCGGAACTAAATTGGAAGTAATTGCATTTCTTTTCATACCCCATTATATAACTCACTCATTTAGAAATATCTCTATTGACCAGAAACAACTTTGCCGACGAAAAAAAGAACAAAAAAGAACATCAAATTTATTTTTCGTTCATTATTTTATATATAAATCAGGCCGTTAGTTTTCCGTTTGAATTGTTTTACGTTTGCCATTTATAGCTGACTATGCGGTGTGGTTTTACTCATTGTTGAAGGCCGTACGGTGACCTATAGTTGTTAATTTCTGTGTCATTTGGTCTCTTGTGGAGAGTTGTCTCATTGGCAATCATACCACATCTAAATTCTTCTTGTTTTAATATTCGTAAAGGAAAGTACCACGTTTGCTCAGCCTCTTTCTTAAGAACCATTGCATCAACTTGCTGGATTCGTAGGTACTCTTAGTGGAACGTCCAGCTGGACGTTAACCAAACAATCACCAATCATCAATCAGTTTTCCGGTTGTGAACTATCAATTAATGTGCATTAATATTCATTAATATTCATTTTCATAATTAGATAAGAGTTAGATAATTTACTTGCGACGATATTTATCTTTGTGAAATTGATGGCGTCATAAGATCACACAAAGCCAGTACGCTTCTGAAGGATCCCTTATATATATCATTGGTTATGAGTCATTAAATAATTTAAACTTAATACGACGAATAGTACGGTTTATGGTGAGATTCGATTTGCTCAATCTTTAGTTTTTGTGGAATGTGTATTTTTATGAGGAATTTTGTCGACAGCTGTTTATCTGTTCATCTTTATTATTTGCCCATGGTATTGCCTGTCTTGTATCGACTTGTGTTTTTGTTGTTGTTGCCAGGATGTTGTGTGTCTCCATTGCTTGTTTATGTATTTCGAAATATACCCGGAATGCTTCTTTCAAACACATTTTTTTCCGTTGCAAGACAGCTTGTCTATTTCCCAGGATAAGTGTCGAATGCAAGTACGAGATGAATATATACACATACAAAAATTGACATTGCCCGTCATCTTTAATTTATTCATAGAATGAATAGATTCGGAATTTTACCCGGGTAATTCAATCTAATAAAGACAAGTTCCATGTTCAGATAACTGCAAAAACTGGGTCAAATCCTAATTTTATCATGTAATGTAAAAGGTTCACATCATAACGAACACGTGGGCTAAGTTCCAAGTTGATGTGACCACAAATTCCTTAACTTTACCTTAAAATTTAGCCTACCTTAAACTAAGTCATTTACCGGATACGGAATGGACGGACGAACGGACGCACATTCTGAATGCAAATAAACTAATCATAGATACCTGGGTTAAAATGTGGTACGCCAGTTGCTCGTTTCATCAGATTCATCAGTAACGCTAGAATAAAAAAAGTTAAAAAGGCCAAATGAAGTACGAAGTTGAAGAGAATTGAGGAGCCAAAAGTCCGAAAAGTATACTTCTCGACTCGACATAGCATTTAAATATTGCATAATAAACCCGGTACAATAAAACGACACACATACTTTTATCATGATTATCAATTTCGAAGTGCCAACTGAATTTTCTTTTACGGAACCATTCATTTTCTTTTTAACCGGCTTTTATATTGAACCATACTATTTATTCCTTTACGTTTATCACCAGTTCACATTACAAATTATACAATGTGACATAATAAAGCTAAGATTACCTTGATCAGTCTATCTTTGTTTACGTGTTTATTTACCTTTGATATCTCTGACAATATAATGTCTGTTTATGATTTGGTTGTGGTAGGAGCAGGATTGATAGGTTCTGCGGCAGCAAGACATTCATCACAATGGGGCCGTGTATGTTTGGTAGGACCAGAGGAACCAAAGGTAACTAGATTTAGGTTTTTTAAATATGCAATTTATTTTACTTTCTAAAATGATACAGATTGAAAGGGTTGTAGTGTATACATGCATTTATTATCTACATACACAGGAACACTATCAATCCTTTATATCTGATGTGGTTGTTGAAACTTTAAACATTTGTTTTATCAAATAAATATATTTTTTTTTGCTCGTCGAATATGTATGAGATATTGCCACTGGACGTTAAGCAACAACTACCAATGATTATCTTTTTGCTTAGTCTTTATTCTTTAATTTTGCATTAGGGGACGACCATTTGATATTCATGGGCCATGATGGGGTGGAGATTTTTTCCCGGATTGATCATTTATTTTAATCTGTTGCTACGTATGCTCTTTTTCTCACCGCCGTCGAGAAAATTTCTCTTCACTTTTGTAGCTATTCGATTCCTGCATTTTTAATGCAGAATATTCTTTTTTCTCTTATCTTGTGCAAAGTTATTCCTTTTACGTTCTTACGAGGCCAAGTTATTCATTATCAAAATCATCAATCCCCCCTTTTCCCCACTCCTTAGAAAATCAAATCTTAATGGTTGTCTTCTTTTAAACATCATCATCATAGGCGTTATATTTATTTATATCTTGTTTTGACTTAATTTACAGTCACGAACACTAGATGATACGAGAGATGTTTATGGAGCTCATTATGATGAAGGTCGAATGACACGATGTATAGCACATGATCCTGTATGGGCAACATTATGTCAAAATTCCATAGCTAGGTATAGAAAACTAGAGGCCGACTCAGGTATGCTATTATCATAGAAAACATAAGTCGAGAATTGATGCACAAAAACACATTTTTTTAAAAGAAACTATTAGAAATGCATAGATCGACTACATAAGATCTATAAATAGAATTGGAGTCTCTATAGAATAAGTGTATTATTAGAATATTTGATAACCTTAGAAATGACTTAATTCAGTATTGTTGTTTCATACTTTTTTCTAGCTTCAATATCAAACTAGTTTGCTACTGATAAATCACTGTCTACTCGGCATTTACAATGTAATCCCGACCGGTACTTGCTATAATCTAGTGTCAAAAGCCGAGGGTAATATGATGGCTCATAAGAAAATTTTGTAAGTCGTTTCGTCAGTTAAACTTGAAATCAAGTAAAGGAAATTTAGATCTTACAAACCCTAATCTTTATATAAGAAAGAGCATGAACATTGAATTGAAGTTTGCAACGACAGAATAACCTTAAAACTTTCCACCAAAAGTATGGTATCTTTGATGTGTTTTGTTAACTACATTTAGGATAACATGAATAAGATATGAGGGTCTGGATGGGGGGTCCGTCATTTCTCTATTCTTTTTTTTTTGTCCATTATTCTCTATTCTGTAAACCCCCATCCAGACCCTCAGATATAAATAATTAAGAGATTACCACATATGAAAGTATCGAATGATATTCAGAGGGCTTTTGAGGCAACGAGTTTTATAAATTAAATCATAAAATTTGTTTAATAGGTATATCTTTTTATGATGAAGTTGGAGCGTTAGTGCTTGGTGAAAATAATTCTGAATATATGAACCAAAATGAAAATGTGATAAAAACTCAAAATGTTAAAATAAGTAGACTGACATATGATGAACTTAGAAAACAGTATCCGTACTTAAATGTTTCGCCCAGGGATTATGGTTTATACGAGGGTACGAATGCTGGTTATATCAGTCCACGAAAGGTTGTAAAGGCACAGATCCAACAGGCTAAATTATACGGCTGCACTTTTATCCCGGAAGTCGTTAATGAAGTGTCTAGAGTTGTACAAGATGGTGAATATTATATGCGCATTATCACGAACTCTACACATATACTGGCACGAAAAGTTTTACTGGCTACTGGAGCATTTACTCCATTTAGAAACCTTCTACCACGTGGACTGGAACTTGACCTAAAGTTAATCCCGATAACGGTGGCAAAGGTCGAGATTTCCGACTTAGATTTCAAGAAAATAAAGTAAGTAGAGCATAAAAAGAAAGTACCGGAGCAATTCGATAACAATCAAGATATAAACAAATTCAGGACTGACATGATTCTACATGGATATTTTCATATCTTAAGTAAAAAGATAAAGTATTAAAAAAGTAAGAGCTTTTTTATTTCTCAAACTCAGCAAATATGTGACACGTCTCGAGACAAGTTAAAATCTAAAGACCTACTTAAGTTATTCGAAATCGTACATGATTTAAATCATTCTTTTATTTTTATGAAACTTCTTCTGTATTCATCCGTCGTACAAAATGTAGTTTAAATAGTTTTGCTCTTTGATGATGAAGGCAAGTGGAAAAAATATAACAGTACCGTTTACCTAGATATACAAATGTACATACTTTTTTTTTCAAAATCATTATTTAAAATCGAAATTTCAAATTATATATAACATCTCCAAGCACATGTTTTATATTGAACACTAAAACACTAGATTAAGCCGAAGAGGAAAGCCATTACTCCTCTTACGAATATAAAAATAATGAGATGTGGTATGACTGCCTACGAGACATATTTTTATGTATGATAGTTGGCAGAGTTGTTAAGGGCACCGAATACAGCACATGAGTTGTTGCGGTTAAACAGTTTGAGTAGAGGTGAGAAACCCGTAGAGAGATAGTAACAAACAAAATCTACTCTAATATATTATTTCAAAAGCAAACAATTTGATAAGGTATCAGAAACTATTTATAAATGGTATTCAGAATTAACCAGCTCTCATAGTTTTTTTTCAAAATCCATGTGTATGTGAAATTTGTCACTCAATAAAATTTGAATCGAATATGATCATAAGAGGGAAAAAAACAAAAAACGGTAAGTTTACAAATTAGAAAAGCATACGGTAAACTGACTGTTGTAATTTTGTTTTTGCAAATAGAAAAAAGGGTTCTGAGCATTGATTTTTTTTATTCCAGAGAAATGCCTGGTATGGTTTATTTTGGAAAAGGTACTGATGATTGGACGAAGGAGTTTCCACGTGATAAAACTGGTTTAATAAGCTGGTATATGTTACCTCCAGTAAAATACCAGGACGGTAATATCACATTATGTTCTAATTCGCCAGACTTAAACGAACATAAATTATTTATACAATAAAACTCAACACATGAATCAGAAATGAGCTCTCCTTGTGAGGGTAGCATACTTTTTATTAACCAATATAAAATATGAATCAAACAGTTCGTTTCAAAGTTCATTTTTAAGCACGCTACGGCTTATTCTCAGTCGGTATAAAAACAGTCATACAGACTCGATCACAGTCAGCCATCAATTAATACATACAAATATATACCAATCTACCAAACAAGAAATACAACTTAAATAAATCATTATAAGTAAATCATTACTTTCCACATAAAAACAATAGATGGTCTTGATGGTGGTGGGTGAGGGTGGGGCTTAATACAGGCAAGACAGTAGTACGGAGTATGCTACTCAGCGTAAGGCAGAACTTCGAATAATAACATTATAAATTACATTTAATTTATATCAAACAGCAAGCACGAGAAACACGAGCCAAAATCATACGATACATAGAATACATGTTTTAAATTCGCAATGCGACAAATTCCATCCAATGGAATACATTGTACATTGTAAACATTACAGGTATTCTAAAAACATGTGTTGATGTAAACAAACACACGTACGTGTTTTACCAAAACAAATACATGTGCTTCCGTACTATTATTAAATATATTTATGTTCCAATTCGCCAGACTTAAACGAACATAAATTATTTATACAATAAAACTCAACACATGTATCAGAAATGAGCTCTCCTTGTGAGGGTAGCATACGTTCGAAAGTAACAAAGAAAGAAAAAGGGGGGTCGTATACCGAGGTTTTTAGAAACTGTTAATTTTTCTGATATGTTTTCCTGAACATACCAATCTTTTGCAGTTTCAGATGCCCATCTACCATGTTTCTTGAATAACCTGTCATTTATACCAGCAGCGGCTGCAGCCGTCGCACCACCTGCTGTCAAACTGTGTAAACCTAAATTAGATTTTTCTATACCTAAAGATCCAAGAGCGTCTAATAACAACTCTCTAGCCCTTGTATAAGATAGAGGAGTAATTCCTCTTAATACATAAGTGTTTGTTTTCTTACGAAAAGTTACTGCTCTAAAAATGAATTCGTTAGAATCGATTGCTATGTTAGCTTGTGATAAATATGTGAGTAACATAGATACCGGACATGTTATAGAACTAGTCTTCGAAATCAACACTCTACTACCTTCTCTGTGTTGGTCAGTCTTACTTTTTTCGGTAAATAAAGACATATAAGTAGGATAAAACTGTATATCAAATCTTTTCAAATTAACAAGTTCGGAAAATCTTTAAAATCCTGCATAACTTAAGAGACACATACAAGCGATTCTTCTATGATTTAAAGTACTGAATTTTTACCGTATTTTCGTACAATCTGGTACAGAATTTCAGGTGTAATAGGCTCTTTCTTTTTTACAATGAAATGACCGATTGACATATGAACTCCTTCTTTAATAGATGTACATAAAAAGGAATTACAAGGATCGGCAAATCCGGCAAGTTTATGTGACCAACTAATTGCATAGTAAGCTCCTTCAACTATAGATGCGGATTTGTGTTTTTTACATAAATGACTCAGGTGTAACGAAACATCATAGTCTGAATCTGGTAAAAAATTAAGATTAAATGAATTACACCATCTACACAAATTGTTAAAGGCGTACCTGTACTTCTTCCGAGTGTTTTCAGCTCTAGAGTGTAGACAAAATTCTGGAAGACACTTTGCTAAATTTTGTAATGGCTGGTGTGGTGAAAGAATTTCTGATGACCACCTACCAACGCTGAAAATATCTGAAAAATGTAAAAATTTAAACAGATAGTAAATAAAAAAGTATATACATGACAAATGCGTTTAATATATAATCATTACTGACCTTGCTCCGTACTATAGCCTTGTCAGATTTCTTAAAAAAGACCTCACTATCGTTTCTATAGCCTTGTCAACATGTTTCATGTCTATGTCACAGTAAAACAAAAACAGTTATCTACAGCTAAAATATCAGAATTGAAATTCTTAGAGCCAAAAATGGAATTCTTGTTGTTCCCTTGAAGAAATATGCATTGCTCACTGGAAAATTCAATGACATCCAATACATAATGACGAAATTCCATGTTTCATCTAAATAATAAAGTCCAAAACGATGAAGACGGCCATTTTGGTACTATCAGGGTACCTTCGGCTTTACAGAGTACTAAATGATTTATACTTTTAGTAACTAAATCAATTGGAGGGACCATTTTCCAATTTTGTATAAAAGCATCAATAGCTTCACTCCCGGGATTCCAAAATTTTGAATTAAATCGCTTCAATTTTGTATTAGCAAAATTGGCAAATCTATCAACAGTATAAGGACCCCATAAATTATCCATGAATTCAAAAAACTCCGTAGATGTTTGCCAGTCATCTATATCTATCATTGTAGACAAAAGTCAGCTCTACAATTTTCTGATCTAGGTACCCAAATTGGATGTACAATGACTCCTTCCTTCGAACAAAATTTAAAAATGTCATATGCAAAACACTGTAATTGGTGCTACCTCTATTGATTATTTTTACACAGTTTTGATTATCTGTGAGCCATTTGACAGTACTGTTTTTTAAAACAGATTTAAATGAATACAAAGCTTGAATAGCTCTTAGTTGTCGCCAAGTCGAACTCATGTTTTTCTCATATTCGCTCCATGTGGAATGAAAAACTTTTTCATTCAACTCTACAGTAAAAGCACTTGCAGCTACATTACTAGCATCTGAATACACCACTATGTTTGGTAAGGTGTCATTCACAAAATTCTTCTGATTAAGATTTGTCAAACTTTCTGACCAAAATCTAAATTCTGCTAATACACACTCAGTGTAAGCAATATCTAAATTACCATCCCATGATTTTCTGTTCTCAATTGCAAAATATAAATGCCTTGTCATTAGGCTTGTGACATTGCCCATAACTGGAGACATAGAAATAATTCTACCTGTGAACTGTGCTAACTGACGAGCACTTATAATGGGAAATTTTTTCAAAATATTGTCAAGCGATTCTTTTGCATCATTTAATCTACGTTCAAACACTGCTAAACTAAAGCTTTCCGAATCCCATATTAATCCGAGCCATTCCAAGCATTGAACTGGATCAAAAATAGATTTTTTGCTAATTCCAATGAGGACTTTACGCATTCAGATATATTTTGACATTCTAAATACCCTTCTGACATACCTAAACCATTATCTAGACAAAGCACTATATCTACACCGTTTTTACGCCAGTATTTAACCATAGGCCGTAAACATTTTGTAAAAATGTAAGGCGCTGAACTCAAACCAAAAGCTAAAACTGAAAAACAATAAAACTTTCCGTTCCAAGAGAAACCTAAATATGTATGTTGCTCTTTGCAGATGTCCAAATGAAAATATCCAGATTTTAAATCAAATTTAATTAGGTATATATCTTTCTTAAAAAATTATTGAGCAACCTTCCAATCTTCGAATTTTATTTTATTTTTCAAAACGTATAAATTCAATTCAGATAGATCTAATATCAATCTCTTTTTCCCGGACTTTTGAATGGCAACACTTAATGGATTTACCTCAAAAGGCTTGAATGTTACTTCGTGTACGCATTCGTTTTTCGAAAGTTCGAGAACAGCTTCGTTTACAAAATCAGTATTATCAACTGCAGATTTATTATTGCGGAATTTCATAGGAGGTGGTAAACTCACAAAAGGAATCATATAACCTGATTTTATAGTATTAATTATAAATTTGCTTGCTCCAATATGCTCCCAAAAAGCTATAATTTTAGATATACTACTTTTGAAGCCTTTGGCGAATTTGGAAAAATCAACTTTATCAAAATACTTAACATGTTCGAAAAGTATATTCATGTGCCCATGCAACAAATATTCATCTACTAAATTAAGATACTTATCTTTTATCTTATGTTGCTGGGTTGCTCCTTGGTGTAAATTGCTTGCTGCTTTTATTGGGACAGTTTGTTCTCCAGTGTCCAAATTGGTGGCATTCATAACACGTCATAGGAAGTCGCCTCTCGGCGACTGTTCCTTCGAAAGGGCGACTGGTTGTACTGTTGATGAGGCATATCTGCAGTATAAGTAGGAGGTCTGGAAACAGTAGCTGAAGGCTTAGCGTATGGTTTAGTACGACTTTTCCTTGTTTTTGAGAGCTCTGCTTTCAGCTTGTCGGAGTCTTTTCTCGTCATCTGAATCTGGTGCTATTTCGTCACTCGCGTACTTACGAACTGTGGTCCAACCAGCAGGAGATTTATCGGCTATTCTGATGGAGCTTATTTCTTTTGTTCAACTTTAAGATAAGTCCAGTAATTAAATTAATAGAAACAAAATCTTCCTTCGAAAAACGTTTTTGCAGCTTATGTAGGTCAGCAAGGACTTCGGAATTGAAAGTAAATTGGATTTGGTTACCTTCACTCTTTAGTTTCACGGACGCTTCCTTTTTCAACTTAGTGTCTAAGGAGTCGTTGCCCGACACTAACTCGTTCTTCAGTGCAGATATTTTAGAATCGACGTACGACGTAAACAGTTGAAAGGTGCTGTCACTTATTTGTTGCTGTGGCGCTGTTTGCTGGGTTGCTGTCGATGGTACTGATACAGGCAAACTAGGAAATGCAGCTTCTCTGTTTAGACCTAAAGGAGTTGTAGACTCATGTAGTAGTAATTCGTCTTCGTCTTCGGAACGGTGGTCTGTCATGATTAATACAGACAAGGCAGTAGTACGGAATATGCTACTCAGCGTAAGGCAGAAATTCGAATAATAACATAATAAATTACATTTAATTTATATCAAACAGCAAGCACGAGAAACACGAGCCAAAATCATACGATACATAGAATACGCAATGCGACAAATTTCATCCAATGGAATACATTGTAAACATTACAGGTATTCTAAAAACATGTGTTGATGTAAACAAACACACGTGTTTTACCAAAAACAAATACATGTGCTTCCGTACTATTATTAAATATATATATATTTATCCAAATAATTGGATTTTAAGTTATTTGTTTTATGTCCAAATGAAGTTTCGGCGATTGAACAGATTATTGACGTTTTCAGAATTGAAATGAAATAAACTTGCATTTTAGTTGTTTTTATCTGTGAGACAACATATGAAATACATCTAGTATCCAAATTAAAAAGTCAGGCTATCTGGACCATGAGTCTATTTTTCGGAGGAGTCGGATGTTGGGGGTTTGATGTGATTTGTTGTACTGGTTTATTATTTTTTATAATTCCTGCTATAATGTGTTATGCTTATCTCAAATTTTAAAGATCACATAGTGATAGTTTTATATATCATTCTACCCCATACGAGAAGGCGTGCTAGGCTTGAACCGTATATGATAGGAACGCTGTACATTTCACTTGAAATTAATATAAATAGTTTATCTATACCTTTAGATAATCACTAGTTTTTGTTTGTTATCTTGATTTGTCGTCTTAACTGATTGATGAATTATAACTTCGGTAAACTACTTCTGCCTTAATTCAATACTACCACAGTTTGTGCCTGTATCAAGACAAACTATTTGGACCATGTGTTGTTCATTTGTTTTATTTTTGTGTTAACGTCTATTTTGTCAGACGTTGGTGGATAGTGATGTCTGGTCCGATGTTGCAATGTTCTGATGTTGTTTGTGATTCCTGTTAACGTTTTTATGAAGCAGATTCACCGAATGTTGCTATGAACTTTATAATGTTAGTTTTTAAATGTTTCGGTAACGCATGGAAATAATTACAATGTTATTGGTGGTATATTTTAGGTAAATATTATATAAAGCTAGGACATTTTCACCATGCTTTTCCTACACATTTTACCACAATCAAAGAAATGAAAAGATGGTTTTGTAGTACTGGGGATAAGCACATTGTTGACGCTACTGCTGATTTAATCGGTAATATTATCAAAGGTAAGGATTTATCAATACCAAATACACTCATCTTAAATACCAGGATTGACATTTTGTACGCCAGACGTGCGTTTTGTCTACAAAAAACTCATCAGTGACCAAGATATTTTTATTAATGCATGCAATAAAGGTATGGAAAATTTTCCATCATGAAAGATACCAGTCTTGTGATTTAGCACGCACATTTCGTCTACATAAGAATATTAAGTGTTATTTTCATTGTATGAACAACGGTCAATTGTTGACGTATATTCAACATCTATATCTTTTTATATATAAAATAATGAGCAGAAACCCAGAAACCCTCTATCAATGAAATTATGATAGGAAATACAAGCCATGGAATATCGTATCAACTAGAAGATATTTATTCCATATGTAGGCGCTGTTTAAATGTCCTTTTGGTATCTTTCGTCTCTCTTTAACAATACAGATGAACTCTCTCAAATCACAAACTGATCTAACTTATTTTAGGTGTCAACAGGGTTTCATATCATGGAGATTGTTGCGTTTTAACAGAAACACCAACAGAAAGACCCTACATTGATATGTTACATTCCCAACTTGGTGTTGCAATAGGCGGAAACGGGTACGGTGCCAAATCCAGTGATGAGATAGGAAGAATTGCAGCGGCAATGGTATTGAAAAATGAATGGGATTCAACTATTCCAAGGACAGTATTTCAGGCTAGATTTAACGAAGTTGCTTCAAAGTTGTAGACCACATACAGCTGTGTGCAAATTTGTAAATTAAAGAGAGTCATTTTGAGAATAAATATAAACAGAATAAATAGTGAATATAAAATCATATGCCAGAATTTGTTTGATAGGATTGCATTGTATCGCAAATAATTGTTGTAAAGTTTTGATGGAATTTATATATGTTTAGAAAAAAAATTTGTGGATTTTCACTGCAAAGACTTTGTATTTCTATATCTTTTAAAAGTAACGCCGCCAATGATACGGAAAGACTATTGTTTTATAATGGTATGGGAATATAAAATGATCAAGTATTTTCACTCTTTGCCAAAATGTAGTTTTACCAAAAATGATCTTTAAAAATATCATAACGTATAGATTAACGAACTAGTTTCCCGTTTACTGGTTGTGTGACATGTTAGGATTTTACACAATACTCGAACACTTTTATGTGACAAAAATCCATACAAGTTTTGAAATAAAAAATGTGAGTAGGTTTATATAAAATACAAAAAAGTAAAACTAGATCAGCACATTGTTTTTTTCCCACATTATCAAGTATATAAATTGTCTGAGAGGGAGACTTATTTACACCTTATGTTAATCGATGTACTAACTGACAACAAATTTATTTGGTACCGATGAATGAGTCGGAGAGATTGCTGCTCATTTTTTAGCGGTACTAAGTTCTTTAATGATTTCAAGCAGTATTTCCTCTAGAATTTGCATATCTTGTATTACATTGGAATATCTTTTAATCAACATTAATTCCTTCTCCTTTTTAAAGTTTTTTCCCTGATACATTTTAAGATCTTTGAATTTCATAGAGTAAACGACAAAAGAATAAAAAAAATTCACTTCATAGAATGTGTACGATTTTCTTAACTTACCTTCATCAAGAACGTCCGAACCCCCAAAAATTGAAAGCCTAGGATCTTTTCAGTTTTTCAGACTTCCTGTTGTTATATAACTGTGAAATTTTGTTTATTTATGATTCTACATTCTGTCGATACATATATTTTGGCATTGCACCAGGTCATGTTTGTATTCTTCTTCTTTGTTTATGTTGTCTCTAAATCCAATGGATATGTACTGATTGATTTTGTCTTTGACACGTGATTTTTAATTAGCTGTTATAGGCTTTGAACCAACTTTTGGTACTTTGTGTCTTACATGTTTTTGTTAGTAGCTTCTTTTTGTAATGATATAGGATAGTTAAAGCGTTGTTCGTGCATACATTTCTAGTATGAAGCGCTAAAGCGCCGCTTCATTCAAAATCATGCTTCGGTCAACACCTTTACATTCTAATAAAATTACACAAAGAAGCGATCAATTTCTAATTAAAAGAAGTACAGAATTAATCCATGTGTATGTTTAACGATATATTGTTCTTTGTGTGCTTATTTAAGTGTGTTTTACGCAGGGCTTGTTACCTCCTTATAACTAGATTCAATTACATTGTACATTTGAGACAATGGTCAAACGATCGTGTGTGCACATCTTAATGTCTATTTTTGCAAACTTTTGTTTTTGAGTTAATACAACACGATATAAATTTTGATAGGTGTTTCATTTACCATTAAAAATGAGTGAAAAACTATATTAATATTCAGTATTCAAAGCAGGTAACACACTTCACAATCATTCAATACTTAAATGACTATTGGGAAATTTGTGTCGATTATTTTGTATCAGATAAAGAAAGGCAATAGTAGTATACCGCTGTTCAATAGTCATAAATCGATTTAACTGAAACAAATCCGGGTCACAAACCAAAACTGAGGAAACACATAAAAAATAAGAGGGAAACTACGGAACAACAGAAACACTGAACTACTACAAAAACAAACGCCAACATATCTAGATAAAGGCAATAGTAGTATACCGCTGTTCAATAGTCATAAATCGATTTAACTGAAAAAAAACCGGGTCACAAACAAACACTGAGGGAAACACATCAACTATAAGAGGAAAACAACTGAACCACGGAAACATTGAACTGCTACAAAAACAAACGCCAACATACATAGAAACGGACTATGCGATAACAACTGCCATATTCCTGACTTGGTACAGGACATTTTAAGAAAAAAATGGTGGGTTGAACCTGGTTTTATGGCTATCAGAATGAGTTTGTGACAATTTTATAAAAACCATCGTAAACCAACACATACAAAAAAAAAAAAACAAGCAAAAAAACCCAGAACATATAGAAAAGATTTATATCATGAAATATACATCAAGATCTCATCGCTTTATCAAACTCGTACTACAATAGTGAGCAATATTTGAGTACGTACTAGTTGGAACCTAGAAACATACAAAGAATATCAATACATAATGAATGATTATGGCATGATATACAAATAACTAAAGCTAAAAATGTAGAATTATATGAGATTGACAGTAGTTTTGATATGAACAGACCGACTACATTTTTTGTGTGTATTGTACATGTATAATCATCAATGCTTATGTACAAAAATGTTAACATACTTGAAATATAAACAGATTTTCATGATTACAGACAATTATTTATATAGTTAGCAGTGATCTTAATAATGACCACCAAAAACGATGATCAATATGGCCTTATGTTTAGATAATATCACTGAATTCGAATTAATAAAATTGAATTTTTTTTTTAATAAAATGTCTAAAAATAAGTTAAAATTTACACTGAATCTTTTATTAGAATTGACATAACTCGTTTCAAGGTTCAATTACAACAGAATTTTAAAGTGTAATTATTACGTAATTCTCGATTGTGTTTAATTGGTTGTTTACTAACTGAACATGTAGTGATATTTCTAAGTCAAACAAAATGGAGAACGACGTGTATGATTTGTGTGTAGTTGGAGCTGGAATGATAGGGTCTGCAGTAGCTAAATATGCATCAGAATGGGGTCGCGTTTGTTTAGTTGGACCAGAAGAACCAGAGGTAACTACCCTACTGTAAATATGGAGATTATTGTAAAGACAATGAATATTCTGGAACGTTAAGGTGCAATGCAAAACCTATTAAAAATGTAATGAATCAACATTTTGAAATCGTAATCAAATACCAATCTTATCATTTAATACGACATAAGTGCGATTTGACGACGGATGTGAGCGAGACAAGGTGTGTCAATCGAGTTCTCTTTCAATTCTTGCATTTATCTATTCTTGTCTGAAAGAAACAAAAATTAAGTCATTGAAAATAATATTATTGCAGCGATATGAAAAATGAGGTATGATGGCCGATAAGACAATTATCCACCAGAGGTCAAATGATGTGGATATAAGCAATTATAGGTCTCTGTACGATCTTCAAGAATGTAGAGTTTATTTAATAAATCATGAGTTAAGGCAGGACCAGGCAAGTACGAGAGTAAATGCAATAATAAAGTAATGAAAAAATCATATTAAGGGAGCAGTGGATGAGAAAGTTAAAACAAGGCATCGGACAGCGTAGCAACCAACAGCTTCATGAGTTTTCAATAGGACATATTACTGACATTTTGAAATTAGAACAGTTGTATAATATAAATATGCATCAATATATTTGATATTTAATGTAACGATATATAAGAGAAGTTTAGCATGAAAACAAGACCGATAATGTGCTAACACATAGCATATGAAATTGTTCGTCATAGGAAAGAGATGTCAATTGTAAGAGAGACATATTTGGATGTCACTATGATGAGGGAAGAATTGCGAGATGTTTAGCTCATGACCCTATCTGGACACAGTTGGCACGTATCTCTATGTCAAGGTACAGACAAATAGAAAGTGATTCAGGTAATGACGATTCGGTATCAGCTAAAAGCGGTTCAGTATCAATATTTTTGACATAGCTAAATAAATGACAAAATGTATAACCCAATGGCATGACGACTGTTTTTACTTCAGTGAACAGATACAGCATTATTAATACCATGTTAAGTAAGGACACTCACTCTGTTAGGATTGAATTTGTTTTCTATCAATAAATGAACATGCCAGCAGTAACTTTTCACATTGCTTATCATTTTTGAATAAAAAATTGATAATGTATTGCCATATTTGTAAAGATGTCTTCGTATAATTCATCAAAGGTGACCAATATAAAAATAAGGAGATGTGGTATGATTGCCAATGGGAATACTTTCATCATGGATCAAAGGATGAGGAAATGTATCAAAATAAGGAGATGTGATATAATTGTCAATGATACAACTATATAACAATAAACATAGGACAAACATGTAAAATTAACAGGTGAAAATCGAAAAAATGATCAATTTAACTGAACAAAAATCCTTGGAAAAGTTCAATATTTGAATAGAATTCACATAAAATCTATTTAAAACTGTATCTAAACTATTCAAAAAATACCTTTTCTCTTAAACCAGTATAAATTTTTGTTACAAATTGATATGTTGCGGCTAAAACAAATTCCACTTTAATAATGTAAAATATTTGTATAGTTACCGACTTCAGTTTGGGTATACATAAGTCAAAGTAGCAATCTTGGTGGAAAAAAACGTCGAAATAAGGTTAACTTCGTCGAGTTATAAATCCATAAAAAGTCCTTTTTAGACGTTTTTCACAACCAATACGGTCACAGATTGGTTAATACATAAAAGCAGTTGTATGCAAAATCTTATAAAAGTCTGTAGCATGATCCATTTTCTTTAACTTGATCTGACATTACGTTTGTGTTCACATTACTTTCAAATCTTACTTTTTGAATTAGGGATTGGCTTTTATGATGAAGTTGGCTCATTAGTAGCTGGAGGAAAGGATACAAAATATATGATGGACAATGAAAAGGTGTCAAAGGAACAACAGCTGGAAATCGAGATACTGTCATACGAGACACTCAAAACGAAGTTTCCACTTTTAAATTTCTCTGATATAGATCATGGAATATATGAAGTAAAGGCCGGACATATCAGTGCAAGAAATTTGGTCAGTGCTCAAATTAAGCTGGCTAAATCCAAGGGTTGTGCATGCATCCATGAAATTGTTGAAAACGTTACCCAGATGGAAAAAGATGGGAATAGCAATATGTGTGTATTAACAGAATCAGGCAAACAAGTCTTAACCAGAAAGGTACTATTAGCAACTGGTGCATTTACAGCTTTCAGAAATCTACTTCCTGTAGACCATGAATTGGACGTAGGGTTATGTCCACTTACCACTGCTATGATTGAAGTTACAGCTGATGATTTCACAAATATGAGGTTTGATTGTGATAATATTAAATAGTTGAATATCCCCCTATAAGCTATTATTTTTCACAGAACACTAAAGTCGAATACACACAAATAAAAAAGTTCGGTTCATTATCACTCCTAATAGACGGGTTCTCTCCCTTGCATCATACGGGTATCTGAACCAAACAGATAAAGGACTGGGAACCAGTCTACACATCCAATTGCTTGTCGGAAGGTAGATTTTGTTTAATAATATTTAGTAAATAGGTATCAATGCTAACATCATCTCGGTACAATGATTGCATGCGTTTGCGGTTTTTAACAGTATATAAAGCCATATCTTTTCCGAATAGGATATGCCAATGCTTCAGGCATTCGTATTGCTTTGCTTAAGTTATTGTTTTACTGGTGTTGGTAGTTTTTGAGATATGGAGTATCATGTCATTGTGTATACTTTAGTTATAGTCTTTATTCTTTTTTTGGTTATGTTGGTTTCGTGAAGTAAAATGTAGCTTCTATTAATATTAACACTTAAAACGTTGATAGTCACCAATGCAGGATACCGAATTAAAGTAGCTAATTTTTCTATGTAACTACTAAATAGTAAAAATATTTTCACTTTGAAATAATATCCATTTTGAAAACAACTTTAACCTTGCCTAATTTTAGAAAATATCCTACTTTAATATATTTCGGGAAAGGAGCCGATAATTGGAAGAAGGATTACCCTCGCTCAAAAGATGGTGAATATAGCTGGTATATGTTGCCGCCAATTAAATATCCAGATGGTATATTTATATTAGTATCACCTGATTTTATTTATTTTATTCATTTTTAATAGAGTGTAACTGCTAACATCCCCTCGAAAGTTTTACGGATGCATAATGATTTGGTTGACTTTTTGGTATATGTGTGTCACATATTCCCATGGTTATGATACATATAAGCACAAAAACCATCGATGCTATTTTTCACGATTGTTACATCACTGCCCGAGATTAAATATCCGGAAAATAGAACTAAAAATGTATAGATTATATGAATATATCACAAAAAAGTTCACGAACTTAACTTTAAAATATTATTTCTAGAAAACCTGTCGAACGATTTCTCCTTAAAACTGATGTTGATATTAAAAGTATAATGGGCTACCGAATAGGTTTTGTTTTCAGTAAAAATAGTTGAATCTTCTGCACAGCGCGCAGAAACGCAAAAAGGCAAAACTATAGTGCATAATATCTTACCTATCGACGCATATAGATATTGCACATACACTGGAATTATTTATACTGCAATAACGAACTCGATGACCTCCAAACATTTTATATCAATAAACGGAAATTTTAGTGGTAATAAAATATCATGTTTAAAGAAAATTTGTACGACAGGATTTTTCATGAAAAAACAATTAAAAGTCAAATTATTCAATAATTTTTGCGATATTTACGTGTATCTTATACATTTGTCTTCTATTTACAGAATATCAAATCTACGTTATATCCGAATGTATACATGTTTTTATTTTTTTACAAAATTCATGTGTAATACTAGTATTAGTTAGAACTAGCATTCTAACATCTGATACATATATCTGTATGCAGAATTTCTTGAAATCGCAATCATTAATCTCACATTTTTGTCCGTTCTCCTAAAATCGCAGTAATAAAAGCACGCAATGATTCTGAATTTACATTACCACATTCTCTAGCTGTTTTACAAAATTTCATAAGATCGCGAATTTACGTCCATGTTCCCTTAATATAAGTGATCATTTAGTATTGTTCTATAAAACGTATGATATACATATCCTGCATAAAGCACATGTTTGCTTTAAATAAATTACATAATTTGAAGAACTTGACATTTTCAGACAAAACATCATCTGGATGGTATCAAACAGCAGCTGTTCTGACCCAGTTTGATAGCGCGCGTCAAACACGCGGGTTTGATATTCCTATTAATCCATGGCATGGTCAGTTTGTTTTCGACTTATGATTTTGAATATCCTTTTCGTGTTTTTCGCCACTCTTTTTCTAAAATTTAACTTAAGGTTGTCAATCTATTCTTGATATATTAAAGATTGGTGAATTTAATTTTTATTCAATCAGCACAGGGTTTACATGGTTAGTTTGATGCGTTTCACCAGACTGTTATTATCTATGACACATGAGATACTATAAATCGAAGGGAAACGTTTCGACACTGGTCTTTTATTGATTTTTAATGGTGACAATTTTCTAGCGTCATTCATTTGCCCATTTTTTTTTCAATTAATAGTTTTAAGACAACAATTGATGTATTTAATTTCTATTATAGGGAAGTACTACATAAAGCTAGGACATCTACAGCATGCTACCACTAAACGTTTTACCAGCAGCTGTGAAGTAAAAGAATGGTATTGTAGTGGTGGAGACACAAAACTCGTAAATGATACAGTTGATCTTTTCAAGTCTGTCGTACAAGGTTAGTTTTCTATTGTATAGATAAAAGAGATTTATTACATCTGATGGTTTTGGGTTCGACATGTTTCGTATATATAACTTCAGAGTGTGTTATTATGTGATAGGGACTTGTATCAACTCTTCCATATTTGTTTGTTATTATAGTGATTAAGATAATACACAATACGACTGCTGTACTCCTATTTTTGACATTTTAACCTATTATGACTGTTTTGTTTTGTTCACACATTGTTGTCAATTTAATGGAATTTCATGCGACTGTCATACAAGTGAGAGGTTTCGCTAGCTATAAAACCAGGTTTAATCCACCATTTTCTACATAAGGAAATGCCTGTACCAAGTCAAGAATATTGCAGTTGTTTTCCAGTCGTTTGATGTGTTTGAGCTTTTGATTTTGACATTCCGTTTTGAATTTTCCTTGGGATTCGGAATTTTTGTTATTTTACTTTTTACTTCCTGTTGCTTGTCTTTATGTCGTGTTTCTTTGACCACTATCTTATATCTCTCTTGACTTTGACATGATTTTTCATTGGTCCTTTTTTTGTAGACGTTAATCCGATCTCCTACCATGGTGATAGCTGTGTTATAACTACAACCCCAACCAAACGACTGTACATAGATACTCTACATCATCAGCTAGGTGTCGCTGTCGGTGGGAATGCGTATGCAGCAAAATCCAGTGACGAGATAGGCAGGATAGCTGCTGTAATGATGATGAAAAACGAATGGGATTCATCATTAGAAAAGACAGATTTTAATTTAAAAATGAAAGAAAAGCCGTCAAACTAACAGTTTACATCTGCAACTGTTACCTAGCTAATTTCTGTAAAGGACTTAACCAAGTTAGAAATATGACAGTTGTTTTACATTCGTTTGATGTGTTTGAGGATTTGATTTTGCCATTTGATAAAGGACTTTCCGTTTTTGAATTTTCCTTGGAGTTCGGTATTTTTGTTATTTTACTTTCTACACATTAATCTAGGATTCCAACAAACTTTAGCAATGCATTTCTGCAATGTTTACAGCATGATTTACTGCAGCATTTAATAATCATTTTTTTCAAAATTTCATCATACTTTATTGAAAATTTTAACATTTGTTAGTTGGATACAGAAAGTACGGTACCTCATCCCGGCCTCGTTTTACATTAGTAGCATACATTTAATAGAACTAGTTATTTCTTGTTAGTAATCTAAATTCTGAAATATACATTACTATGTTATTATGTATCCATCATTTCCATAGTATTGTTCAATCTAATTATCATGGTTTAGATGAAAATTGATTTATTTTAAAGATGATTTTGATCAAGGTACATAAGGTGGTTCATCGGTATATATTTTCTCATATAGAATTTTCTATTTTTAAAGCTATAAATCGTGCAAAATTGCACAATTTTGCATAGATTATTCATGATAAAACACATTTTTTTATGAATTAAAAGAAATCAATGAGATAGAATTTTAAAATAAAATATAAGAAAATAGTTATTAAAATATGCTTTAAGAAAATAAAAATAGAAAATGGTGTCACCGAACTTGTTTTCTTGCTACAAGTAAAATACGAAAAAAAAAAATGACATTCCTTTATACAAATTTTACTATTAAAGTTACCTCCCCTTAAATGGGTTGTTTGAAAAATTGATTCGTACAAAAACAAATATTTGGTATTTATTAAAACAGTCTAAAAGATGCAATATATCACTTATTTTTCGCTATCTCTATTCAAATAATCAGGCTTACACATTAATTTCTAATCTGTCTCAAAATTTGCAGATTAAGTGCCAGTCTTTGTAAGAATCGGGCAATTTTGAAAAAAATCAAAACATGGCCGAAAAAAACCCACCGACCTAACCATCCTATTTTGAAGTTACCCTCATCCTGAGTTAGAAATGGTAGGTCTTTCGTTTCTGCGTGTCTGGTAATTCGAGAAATCTCTAGATAAATTTTGGTTAGAATGATAGCAAATTACAGAGTTAGCTCCCCTTAATTTTTCATTTCTAGTGCATTTCAACCAAATTATATCTTGAATTACCAGAACAGGACAAGGAAACGAATGCTATATTCATGCACCATTATACACTTTGAACAAAAAATAATGTCAACCTGAGTGGGTTTTTGTTTGTCATGTTTTCACCACTGCCTGATTCTTAGGCAGATTGGCACTTAAAGCAAAGAACTAGACCAACTGTGTACTGCTATTTTATAATCCAAGGTGGTGGTATACAGTTAATCTACCATAACTTAAATTGATCGATGCAACTACATTAAAATTGCTCATACAATTGGACGAATGTTTTATTCTAGATAAAAAAAACTGAGAACATGAATCACTTGCACTTACATAAAGAAATGCCTGTACCAAGTCAGAAATATGACAGTTGTTTTCCATTTGGTTGGTGTGTTTGAGCTTTTCATTTTGCAATTTAGTAAAGGACTTTCCGTTTTGAATTTTCCCTGGAGTTCGGTATTTCTGTTATTTTTACTTTTTGCACCTTTAAGAATGCAGCTTTTTAAAGTAAAATTGTGAGACACATTATATTAGGCCCCTCTTGACCATTACGCTTTTAACGTGTGTTGGTCTGATACATTATAGCTTTGATTGTTTTGGTTGTAGCGTTCCTGATGAAGGTAAATCCAGAAAGTAGCTTCGGGTGCATGAAATAGTTATTTCCAATCGTGTGCTAACTATTACAAGGAAAACAATGTAATAATTTTAAATAGGTTTTATAAAATCAGAACATATGTTTGATCATAGCCTTTAAACATAATTCCCTACATGTTTTAGGAGCGAATGTTTATACTTATTGGCCTTGTTATACGCACATTTTATACACAACTATTTTACATTTAACTTTACATAAATAGTAAATATTGAATGAAATAGGGCAACATGTAAATTATTTGAAGTCAAAGATTAAAAATGAAAGCATTATCATTCTAAACATAGTCCCAATCGAAATTCAAAGTATCTGAAACAGGAAGTTGGTGTTGACAGATAAACAAAGCTCTACGTGCGTTACTCATCATCACTTCAAAGCAAGTGACCAAATATGAAGAAGTTATCCTGCTCAGTAGTACTGGTGAAATGTGCGACGAAACATTTGAAGACATTATGAGTACAAGGTGTCTGACAGATTCCAAAAAAATTCTCTCATGTCACAAGTTGACAAAATCTGAAGTTATTCTGTTTCGTTATATTTGATAGAAGATTGACCAAAACATAATTGCTTGACACAGACTGACGGACATTATGTTCAATGCAAACAATGAATTTACAAGATGTATGATACTATAATGATTATAGAAGAATAATAATTTTATTAGTTCTTTACTGATAGCTATAGCCATGTCGGAGTACGTCTTAGTCACGTTTGTCTTTATTGGTGCGATTGCATCAATATGCCCAAAGCAATGTTGATATTTTGATATCCCCCCTGACAGAATGGAAACACCTTTGTCTTTGAGATGAATCCCATATGGCTGCACGTGATCTGATTTAGGATCATCATTCTCCAAGACAATTGAGCGCCTTGCAAAAAGAAACTATCCAATCCTTTAAATTTTTTTTCCAATGGAACATTGAATATTTCAATAGTTGTTAAGTTATTCAATGTATCATACCTGGGAGTTGTGAATGGCATAAATGTCCTAACATTGGCCATTTGGTACACAATTTGGCCAAAAACAAAATGCTAATGACACACTGATGATGACTTTTCTTCTAAAGTATTAATACGTAAGTGCATTACAAATAATTTTATAATTGTAGTATAGCCGTATAGTAATTACTTGAAACTTTTGAAGCCTATTAGACTTCAAATATAAAAATAAGAAGATGTGGTATGATTGCCAATGAGACTCTCCACAAGAGACCAAATGACACAGACATTAACAACTATAGGTCACCGTACGGCCTTCAACAATGAGCAAAACCCTTAAAGTTAAAACCCAATCAAAGTTCGTTAACTTGTAACATGTGATCACGTTTGAGATATGTTAGTCACATATTCCCTGTTTACTGACACAGAGACTATTAAAATAAGTTATAAATTGAAGTAAGGATGTGGTATTACAGTCTACACGACAAGTATCCAACAGAGTCAAAACAACGTAGATTTAAGTAATATACCTCAGCCACATTCAGGTACAATACCTTCAATATAAGATGTCCCTACTTCCAATACTAAAGTTTGCACTTTTAGTATCAGTTTCCGTTTAATTGTCACTTTGTTCAATGGTCTGTCATTCAATTTATTCTACAAGTATCTTGGAATCGATTTTTGGTTCCAATTGAAGAAGTTCATCTTAAAAAAGATCTAGCTGAATTGGTAGTTCTTGTACGATCAGGGATATCACTGCTTTTCTGTAGTTAAAGTAGATTTACTGTATACCGCCATCTTGGATTGTAAAATAGCAGTACAGAATCGGTCTAGTTCTTTGCCTAAATCTTCAAATTTTGAAACAAATTTGCAATTAATGTGTAAGACTGAATGTCTGAAGAAAAATAAGTGATTCATTGCATTATCCCAAATGTTTAAACAAAACCAAATATGTATGTTTTAAGAATCAATTTTTCAACTTGGCTATTTAAGGGGAGATAACTCTTTTAGTAAAAACATTATACTGGAATGATAGTGAAATTTTCGTTTTTTACTTGTAGCAAGAAAACAAGTTCGGTGACACCATTTTTTATTCCTATTTTCTTAAAGCATATTATAAAACCTATCTTCTCATATTTTATTTCAAAATTCGATCTCATAGATTTTTTTTATTCACAAAAATGTGTTTTATCATGAACAATCTATACAAATTTTGGCAATTTTGCACGACTTGTTGCTTAAAAAATAGCACGGTGACCCATACTTTTTATTATATTTTGAAAAAAGCATTGAAAAATCTTCATTTTGGCAAAGTATAAAAAAATCTATCTGTATCTGAGGAAATATAGACCGATGATCCACCTTTAATGAACTAAATCATCTTTTTTGTGTATCTTAAAGTCAAGTTACAGTAAATGGACTATGTCACAGATTTTCTTAAAATTTGGCAGACAACTTTGGCTCGATGAACTTGTACTGAAAATAGAAAAAATATAATGCATTTATCTCTTTTATTTCCTGAAATATTACTGATTGAATTCCTTCAAATTAGGTGAACATTAAATCCTAAATTCATGTATCAACAACATGTAGTTTTAAAAAAAAAACTATGTATTTGTACATGTTGAAATTGGAGATTTTATGATTTTAAGACAAATTTATGAACGTTTTTCGCCGATTTTGTGTGCTTTCTATACACATGCTCACCTAATTTGAAAGAATTCAATCCGTAATATTTCGGAAAATAAAAGAGATAAAGACATTATTTTTTTCAATTTTCAGATATAATTTAACGAGCCAAAGTTGTATGCAAAATTGTACCCACAAATTTGACATAGCCCATATACTGTTCCGTGACTTTAAATGTACTTATGGGATTTGAACATCGTTTATCTATTTTTGCTTTTGCACCCCCACAATTGGTTTCGATATAGTTTTTTCAGTTTTTCACGAAGTATCGTCTAAGTTTTCATTAGTTTTAACTTCTGTCTTTCAATTTTATAGTTTGCATGGTCTTTATTGATAATAGTGTGTCAGTTGCAGTGGTGGTAAAGCTTGTTTTCACCGGAAATATAGTTTTTTTGACTTACAGTCTCATATATTAGTCTGTTTAATCTTGAACACAGTATTTTCCATCAACATCATATGGTTTGACTGCCTTTCCTTGGATGTAATTAAAGCTATATATGTATGAACATGTTTCTCTTATGCTGATAATTTTAAGTTAGGTTCTTCTGGTATGACAAATGTCAGCAGAGGCTTCTGTTTTTCTCTAATGATGGGATGCATTCTAAAAACTAACTTTTAATACAGTTACGCCTGCCTTATTTCTTGACATA